TGCTCTACGAAGTATGGGAGCCGAAAAGATCGAAAAGCGGCCAATCGTCAACCAGACGTCAGAACAAGGTCTACCTTGCCTGTCAGTTCTCAGCATTATCCCCGTGACCCGCTTCTTATTCTTTCAAGCCTCGTAAAATATCCAACAGTGATCAATTCTTGTACACTTCGCAGTGGTGTCTCCCTATCTGCCTGTTAGTGTAGGAACCTACTAGCACTCGGCTTAAGGGTGCTATGGGGGACGCTTTGCCTCTTAACTGCCTAGCAAATATAGTCCGGTCCGCGGATCTGTTTGGAGGAGACAAACAGCGCGACAGACCAGTGATGTTGCGGGACTGCCGTTTCGGCTTCTGAGAGGACAGTTGAGAAACGCCGGTGGTGGGGTGAGCGGCAAACGGCGAAAGCTAAAAAGCCCGAATTCGATGTTGTGTGGTGGACCGTTTTATTTCTCCTGAATAGTCTCGTCCAACCAGGGACATCAAATCCACTGAGAATTTCATCTCGTACCGCGCTGCAAATGTACAGTGCTCATACGAAATCACATTGTCATTGATGGCACGAACTTTCTATCGCCCAGAACGGGGACTCATCAACAACACGGGATCGATAGGGCATGGAGGACCCGGGTTGGTAGATTCTGATAGGAAAACTGGATATTAGTATTGCTACCTCACAGACGCGGGATGGGGACATGGCGGAATTGCTGCAATGTAGTGATTTCAATCTTTTCAATGTGCCCCTATTGTTGCTGATGTCAGGCCGGATGTCACCTCAACTCCGTTCTATGCGATTGCAAATCATCTACAAGTACACTTCGTAATGCTATATAAATTACAACGCGGAACCGGATCACGACCTTCCCCGCGAGGGTGTACAAATAGACGATTACCTACGAAGTACGAAGTAGTCGATGTCACTTGTTGATCTCTCTTAATAGTGCCAGGCATATTCGCAGTTCGCCTTGCAATCCGCATCAAGCCAGATGGCGTCTGGCTCAGCTCTCTCGGTATCGGAAAGATGTGGCCGGGCGGCACAGCAGAAGACCACTTTCGGCAGTATCCTCGTCTCTGGTGAAAGCCGAGGGCTGTTGGACAAAACTCACATTATTAAAGCAGATACACCCGCCCTGGCCTCTTTTCTGGTCACTGCCACGGTGCCACGAGGGGATCGACAGTGGTCATGGCGGCAGGATGCAGAAAAAGCCATTTGCGATTGGGGCGTTCAGAAATTTCGTTAGGGCTGAGAAGGCCTGGACGGAAAAGGCATCAATCTTCAGTGTGGATGGCGGTCCTTGCGACCCCTGGCTTGGCTGAAATTCGAGTTCAATGTCGATGACTCTGCAAGTAACATAAATTGATGTGGTAAATAAGGATCGAGCGGTAAATTGGTTCGCTGATTTGAGTGCGATTCTTTTTTTAAGTGCCTTGCTTTCGTCACTTTTCGAACTGTAGTATATTGATGTATTCATATATATTTCTCTCCTGACTCTTGCAGCGCGCCTGAGCCAGATTGATGAATTGCATCTGTCTATGATTAATACCGCCGACACGCCCTGGAGTAATGGAGTGCGTCCGGCGCGTTCACGAATTGCGCCTTATCCTCTCCTGTATCAAAATGGGAAAGGGCTACGAAGTAGGCCGGACAGTAATACGAATTAACCGGCTTCTATTTCTAGCTGGTATCTCATCTCTCTTATGCACGATACATTAGACCATCGTAGACCGAGGACAAATCAAGCCATATCTGTACGTTGAGCAACAGTAAACCCACTACGAAGGTAAGCAGAGCGGGAAACATTTTGAAAGATCTCTCTCTTAATCGCTGTTCGTTGAATTTCGTCTATCCCTTGTCAACTTCACGCCCCCTAAAGGATCAATGACGACCGGGCAAGTGACTCGGTGACCCAACCGACCAACAGGTGGCGTCGAAGAAGGAATAATAAGCTCCGGACCAACCCCTGTCTTACCGTCATTCTCATCCCGATCTTTACTCCTAGATGTCGCAGCCCTATCCATGTACTAAAGACTCGTCCGTTATTGATTATGAGCTTCATCGTCCCCTTGTGCTGTCGAGCGAGCGCAGCTTTGGCGTGTGAACAAGTATATTTACACTGGATCCGGCAGCTCTGTCAGATATCCCCCTTTCATAGTGCATGCTAGCATAAACTGTTCGCATGTGGCATAATGAGACCTGGCGTATCCACGGAAGGCATGACCGCTTGATACCTTGGGTAGTTCCTCAAGAGCCTGGCGACGAGATGCTTATACGAAGCACAGAGCTAGAGAAAATTGCGGAGCGAAAAGAGAAACTACGAAGGCCACTATTTCACGAGTACGTCCGTGTGAGGAATTTCGCGTCAAGGTACGCGGCCCGTTTCCAAAAAATGGGGCCGTTCCAAAGATGGAGTCGGACCTAATAACACGGTGCTTCCTTCCCCTCGAAACGAGAAATACCACCGAGTTTAGAAGGAAAGATTGATTAATGACTTGGATTCTTTCTCATGATGGCAGGGGAAAGGGGGGAGAGATCGTAAGCTTGGAAATCTCGCTACCATCAGTCCCTTCCCGATTCGCAAGACGGGAATGACTATTGGTCTCACCCCCCGCCGCGCGGCGGCACGGTGAGTGCACCAGTTAGGTCACGGCGATCCGTTCGGTCGGTCGGCGATGTTAGTGGCAGTGGGAGGACGAGGGTTCAGATCTAAGACATACATCTAGGGCAGATTAGTTTCCAGCTCGTGGTCCCCTGGTGGTGTGCTGATACCCGCGCATCATTGTCATGTCGAGTTAGGCGATGGTGATCGAGATATTGAGGAAGAGTCGCGGGATGAGTGAGTATTTACGTACTGGAACAGCAGGGTTGATGAATTTGGTACCTAATCGAAACCTGGCATATACTGTAGTTCGCGGGTAAGACACTGTATCACAGAGGTACACTGGAGAGTCACTGGGCTAACCCCACTAAAACTTGAAGGCTCGGCAGGTACGACGCGAGCCCTGAGCCAAAAGCCAGCCACAAAGACAAAAGTGGAAAGTGCGAACTAGCTTATTGCTTCGTACTTCGTCCCCGTAGTGTATTTCGCACGAAGTACGAAATAAGGGAGACCGAGAGAGAGGCTGAGGGGAGAGGGGAAACATCATGGTGGAGGCTCTTCGTCCGTTTCCCCCTCTTCTTCATCCTCCTTTGCTCCGTGCGGTAGCCTTTCTCCTCCGCTTGTTAGTCTCTGCCTGGCAAAGATGATCATCACAGTGCGCTCCGCATGGCCAACAACCCAACAGCCACCGTATCATGAGGTCCAGTTCTCGAGGATGGTTCGCCTGCACAGACATTACTGCCCGTTCGATTCCTTCTCGGCTGCGACTTGGCGGTGCGCATATTCGTCAGTCAGTGGTAGTACGAGGTGAGGACAAATATCCACCCATACCACTCAATTTCCGTTTTCTCCTGCTTCTTCTCTTTACCAGGAACAGGGTTCCATACTAAATCCCTACCCGCACCCCCTCCTCTTAGCCTCTTTTGCCCTCCCATTGGTCTCTGCCCATTGATACCTCCTCCTGTTGGTACAACACTCTGCCACGCCCTTCCACACACCTCTTTCGCTGCCACTTCTCCGTCTCCACTCACGTACCCCCCCTCCTCCCAACCTACCCCTGTCCTTTCCGGACCAGGGAAATGGCCCGCATGTTCAATGCATGGGTTGCGCCCCACGGACACCACCGAACGAGGAGAAGGAGAAGAAGAAGAAGCAGAAGGGGAACCTTGAAGGCAGGTACGAAATAACGAGGGCCAGCAAAGACACAAACTTTTTGGAAAAGTTGCACCAAAAAAGTACATGATTATTAGTGTACTCTCATGTTAGGCCGACAGAGGTGGGGCCGGCCCATCCCACCCTCCATGTTTCCCCAATGAGAACTGCAGACCTGTAGCTCATCGCCTCGCTCTCCATCTCTGCGGTTCTGGGGAGATGGGGAAAGGCAAACAACACACCAGAGAGGGAATGACAGAGGCAGAGAAGAGCAAAAGGAGGAAAGAGGGGAGAGCCAAGTGACTCGTCGTGCCAATAGTGTCGCTAGGTGTACAGCACAGAGTGATGGATCGACTGGGGAGCCGACCCAACGGTACGCTGTTCTATCCATTGGTCCATCGACTCATTGCCCATTGACGAGTGACAAGCTCGAGTCTCGAAAACGGAGAAGGGGTGGAGTGTAAGTCCGCACGTTATGGGGTACCTTTAGAAGTCCGAAGTAGTCTATTCTGGTTACCCTCGCCTTCGACTCTTGGCCTGTGCCCTGAGTTGCAAGGTACACGCCGAATAAGGCAACAAGCAGCATCAATACTGATCCATGTCCTTTTGTCCCAAACGCTCCCTCACCTCTCCTCGTCTATGTAAGTGGATGCTACATATCTTGCCTGCTTCTCCCACCTCTCTTCCCACCATCTTGGGACCTTGCTTCTTCCCTTCCCTTTCTTCCTTTTTTTACGTTAAGCTTTCCCCGGCCCGGACCTACTTTACTTCCTGTATATTTCTCTTATACTTTCTTTCTTAATCCTCCTTTCGAATAACTGGTGGGTTCGCCCTAAGTAACCTCGCCCACCCACACACCCTAGCCCGTGTGCGTCGTCTTGCTCTGTACGATGATCTCGGTATTCAAGACATATTAATCGGCTTGAAGCACGATGACGCCCCTTTTTGGCTCCTGAAACGCCACCAATTGAAATCTTGACTTCACCTACCTTTCTTTTCTCTTCGATACCCACCTGTGAGAGTTCGCGATCCCTCGACCCCGTCGACTCGCGAGACTCCGAACCGACTTTATAGTACGAATCTTTGATTGGACTTATACGAACACGAACGATCGAATCAAGTAACCTTGGGAGAGTGACGGATATCTTAAAAGGAATTGTCAGCCTTAGGAACAAAGGGAAACCACCTTCTTCTCACGTATAACTATTCTCGCCCTCCGATAAGCGCGAACTTTTAATATATCAGACGGCGAAAACATGGCGTTACAGGAAGATGCGGCCACGAAGGCCCTGCGAGGTCTTTGCATAGCGCCCTTCTTCGATGCTAAGAAATTCCCAGCAGATGCAGGATGTAAGTCGGAAGACGAACACTTCACTTAAAAAAAATCTTGCTTTTGAATCCAGAACGGTGCTCGGGTGTGCTGACTCTCGTCCCCCCTAAAGTTGTGGACGGAAGGCTGTGTCAGACTATCACTAAGGACCTGACATGTTGTCTACCATGCCCCGTCACGGACTGGGTATATCCCAACTACTTCAACACGCTATCTACAGTGGCCAATTGGCTGAGTGTCGCGGGCGCGCTCTGCTGCGTGTTCCTGCTGCTCTCGTACGCCTTCTTGCCAGTTGACAAGACCCTTCGCCACTATCTCAGCATCTCCATCGTGTCTGCTGTCGTGTTCATGAACGTGAGACACTCCCAGGCTTCCCCACACACGGATGCGCGTCCGCATTTTCTAACACCAAGAACGCACAGCTCGGCTTCATCATACCGCTCGCCGCCCAGCCCGACCAGTGCTTCAACGAAATCACACCGCATGGCATGAGCACAAGCACTGTCTGCGCTGCCTCGGCCACCTCCCTCCTATTTGGCGGTTTCGCCGGTGTCATGTGGGTTTTCCTGCGGGCCGTTTCGCTGCATCTCCAGATTTGCTGGCAGCAGAATGTCGGTCGCATGTTCATGATCTTCTCACACGCCACCGGCTGGCTGATCCCGTTCGTCGTCGTAACTCTTGCCCTCGTCTTTAGCGGGGTGTCGTTCCGATTTGGTGCGACATGCCATATCAACCACAAGAACTCGCTCGCCGACTTCTGGATTCCCCTCCTCATATTTGCCGGCCTCACGGTGCTGTTCCAGTTTGCTACTTTCGGATACTGCATCAAGGTCTACCTTGCCTCCCTTGCCGACAACAGCGCTTCGACTGAGGGCTCCACAATCCCTTACACCAACAGCGTCGTGACCTTGTCACCGAGGCAAGCCTACCGCCGCGTCAGGAGGGTCATCCAACTGCAATGGAAGGGGATCGCCATTGTCTTGATCATCATCACCGACGTCATCTTTTTCTCAGTCGTCTTCGTGTTCCAAGATAATACGATACAAGATGTCAAGAATCACCCCGAGATCAGCCAGGCTTGGCTCGCATGCCTGGCGGGTGCGATTGCGAAGGGCGGAAGCAAGGATGACTGTCTCAAGGAAGCCTCCAAGTTGGTCGCCGACGAGGGCACCATCATCGCCGTGCTCTTCCTCTTGGCCGTAAGTTATTTCCCTCTCCTAGCCCTGAGAAAGACGATCAGATGAAAAGAATTATAAGACTGACAATAATTTCTCTAGATTAACGGAATCTTCCTGCTCTTCCTCCTGGGCCGATGGTCGATGGTCTACGGATGGATTGACCTCTTCAAAGGCCTCTTCGGCAAGAAATCCAACGAGTTCGTGTCTGTTGACGCGCGCCTCGACTTCAAGAATGACCAACGTTCGTATGAGATGCTGTCCAACGATGAGAGTGGAGTGGTAACGTCTCTTCCTTCAGTCCACCTGTCATCCATGAGTCCGACGCCTAGCGGCGGCTTCAAGACTCCCGACTACTACGGCCAAACAGCGCGGTACAACCCGCCCGAGAGGTCCTTTTCCAGCCCCAGGCCGCGCACGTCGCAAACGCCGTGGGATTCGACGACAACATATGCTCGGCCTGCCGATAGCTCGCATAACTATTATATGCACCATCCTTACCACAACCGTGACGTGGAGAGGAATGGGGATATGAATCCTCTAGGGATGAACAAGATATGATGAAGGAGGGCAACGGGGAATAAAAAAGCAAAAGCAAAAAAGCAAAAGCAAAAAAGCAAAAGCAAAAATGGGGATGAGATGACGAAGGGCCTCGACGTTGGAAGTCCGGCTTACCGCGGCGGATATAAACCGCAATGGAGATGAAACAACCACGAGAAAATCAGAAAGATGGGGGAAGCCGGGCATTTTCAAGGTCGTGAAAACAACCGCGAATTGATCGGATCGGAGACTCTCTCTCTCTCTCTCTCTCTCTCTCCCCCGACTTGTGAGTGCTGCTGATGCCGGCAGCTTTTTAACTTCTCTCTTTTCATCAATCGCCCTCCTCGGCTATTATAGTCGAAGAGGCCGATGAAGCGGCAAACAGGACGCTGCGCAGATCCGGTTTGCCTTGTCTGATGAATACGGACAGGACATGCCCGGTCCCCAACATAGTCCGGGCTGGATTCGGACGTTAACCCCGGATTTTTATCTCTACCAATCCGAGATGGATACGCCAATGCACGATTCTTCCGGCGACCGTCCACACCACATCACATCACACCACCTTCTGACCTTGACACGATTAGAACCTTGCATTTCAACTTGCATCATCAATTGATCTTGAACCTCTATCGGAGGATCGTTCATTATACCTCGTATAGCAACGCGAGAGTACATACATATACCCTAAGAGGCGATTACATTGTTTTCGCCCACGACTACGCTCTGACTAGCTACGATATTTTCTTGGTATTTTTTTTTTTCTTGTTTCTATTTTCAAAGATACATTCACCAAGGGCTGGAATAGCGGGATTTTATCGAGGAGGAATCGGGTAGGCCATTTGCCGCATGTTTCTTGTTTTGGGTCTCTTCTGTATCTACATGTATTCCCCAAACATTACCTGTATCCATATATCCCGTTTCATATATGTGTATATATTTAGACTTTCCATACTTCTTGAACATGAAGTGTTTCAAGGCAAGATCTCGATTGGGTACACCGAGAACACGACTAGACTTTCAAGCTTATTTTCCTTCTTCATACTAGTTCCCTCTGATCGCGCCGTATGATTCGCTCTCTGGAAGTGTGCATTTGGGCAGCCTGGGAGGATTCCAATCCTCGAATCCGAAATGCTGACATCTGATCCTGATAGGATCACCGGATGCACCGGAGTCTAGAGCCTGAACCCGCCGGGGAATCGACCCAAAGAGCCAAGACCCCATTTGTGTGGTATGATGCTATGTAGGTTCATGGTTGTCTTAGCCCTGCTCTTGCTGATACGGCGCACGCGAGCAATTGCTTCAGATCTGATATCCGCCCATTCCGAAGTTTAATTCTGATGCCTGGTCTTTTGCCCATTTTTTCGTGTTTCGTTTCCCTTCCCCCGTCTCCCCATTTATTCTGTTCTTTTGGTTTCTCATGAGTCTGTTTTATTTTCCAATCGATGGAATTCTATCAATCATAAGAAATTTCATCGAGTTGGAAAAAGCTGAGGATTGCAACTATTCAATTTCCAGTGACCGAAAAACATCCCTGCGTCCCGGGGACACTTGACCTGGTCGTAATTTAAGCTCACGCGACCACCCACGATGCTCATCTCCCGCTACCTCCTTCCAAGCCGCCGGGCCAAATCTCCCCCTTCTCTCCCTCAACACAATGTTCCTCACAATCCACCTACCAAACCTTCCCGTCCGCACCGCAAAATGCCTATCCTCATCGTCGTAGCCATAATCCTCCTCCTCATCCTCACATACCGTTACTACCTCTCCGAGAAGGCTCGGACGGCCCCCTGGACACCGGACCCTGCCTCTATAGCTTTCACCAGGGCGAACCGCCTACCGCCGGCGTCGGAGCTAGCTCCTCCCATCTCGTCGTACACCTTACCCCTGCGTACGCAGGGAAGGGATATTGTCGACGCCGAGGGCCGCCGTGTGAAGCTCGCCTCCGTAAACTGGTACGGAGCGAGCGACGAGCTCTTCGTCTCAGGAGGTCTCGACGTACGTCACCGCGATGACATCGCGCGCACAATCCGCAAGCTCGGCTTCAACTCCGTGCGCCTCCCCTACAGCGACGAGCTTGTCATCCGAAACCCCGTGGTAAACAGCGAAGATGTAGCAGCGAACCCTGACCTTGTGGGCAAGACGGCTCTCGAGGTATTTGTGGCAACGGTCAAGAGCCTCACGAAGGAAGGCGTCGCGGTGATTGTCAACAATCACATCACGCGCGCGACGTGGTGCGATGGGTTCGATCTCTGCGACTCGGGCTGGTCGAACGACCACCTTGATCCGTTCTGTGCCATCCGGCAGACGGAGGATGACTGGATCGAGCATTGGGAGACCATCATGCGGCCGCTTGTAGAGGATCCGTACGTCATTGGTGTGGATCTGAGGAATGAAGTGCGCGGGCTTTGGGGTACCATGTCGTGGGCGAAATGGGCGACGGCGGCCGAACGGTGCGGCGATCGTCTGCTCGCCATGAATCCGGACTGGCTCGTCATCGTATCGGGCGTCTCCTCGGGCAACGACCTCTCGGGCGTGGCAGCGCGGCCCGTCAGGTTGTCCGTTGCGCAGAACCGCGTCGTGTACGAAGCGCATTCGTACTCGTGGTCAGGCTGGGGGGAGCCCACCAAGGGCATGTACGCGAAGCGCTCGTACTCGTCGTTCGTGTCAACGGTGCGTAGGCACTGGGGGTATCTCCTGGAACGGGACGTGGCGCCCGTGTGGGTCGGGGAGTTCGGGGGACCGGGGGAGCCGAATGTCGGGGACGAGAGGTACTGGAGGCATTTGATGAGGTATTTGGGGGTGTTGGATGCGGATTTCGGGTATTGGGCTTTGAATCCTAGGAAGGCCAGGGGGGACACCGAGGAGACGTATGGGCTGTTGAGGGATGATTGGGAGACGCCCGTGCTGGATTATAGGATGAAGGATATGGTTCAGTTGATGAGGGTGAGGGATCAGGGGGAGGTGAACAAGTGGGGGGTTGAGCGGGGCGCGGAGTGGGAGAATGAGAAGCATTGGGGAGAGTTGCGGTGAGTTGGTGGAGCTTGGAGTTGCGGGCCAGGGATAGATGGTTGATGAGACGCTTGTATTATGCTGAGGGCTGGATTCTTTCCCCCCTCTTTTTGTCGTTTTTTAATTTCCTGGGATTGGGTCATGAGTTATGATAAATAGGTACGGACATTAACACAAAGCCGAAGACATTCAAGAGAAAAAAGTCGTATATGGCATACAGCGGGAGAGGAATACTTCGTGAGAGAGCATACTGGCAAGGGAGTAAAAAGAAATAGAAATGGAAAGTCTAGAACAACATAGCCGACCTCAAGCCGGGTATCGTAACCACGCTGCGTTACGTGTTTCTATCGCTGCTCCTCTATCCATACCTAGCCAAACAGCCCGAAAGCAAAACCTGACCGCGGGTCCTTGTTCTCCCATCCCCCCCAGTCCCTTCTTTCTTCCGTCAACAGGCAACCCCCGTTAAATAGTTCGATATATCACAATCCCAGACCAAAGCTCGGGATCATCCAGTTGTAAACCGAATCTGGCCAAACCTGACCATCCTCGATTCGGGTCTTTCAAACCCTCTTTCCCTGCTTCAACAGCTCGGACACTTTTGGTGGTAAGACCAACTGACTCCGATCATTCCTCCGGTAGAAATCCACCAGCATCATCGCCGTCTTCTCGGGCACGTCCTCGTGGATAAAGTGTCCCGCCTCGGGGAAAACCTGCAGTGCATATTTGCCTATCGCTCAAGTCAGTCACACTCTTCCCCCAAATATGATCTGCATGCCATCTCAAACCAAACAAGGTCAGAGAGAGTGTGTGCGTGAACAAAACTTACCCTGCATCTGTCCAATCATCAACTCAGTATCCAATCGATCCGTCCCCGCCAGAATCAACAACTTCCCTCCCCTCGCCTCCAAAAACTTCTTACTCAACCCCACAAACCAACCCTCCCAAAACTTCTGCGTAGCCGCCAAATCCGTCCTCCACTTCCAAGGCCTCCTCCCACCGTCCTCACCATCCTCCTCTTCATCTCTCACAAGCAGCGCTGGTACGGACGTCCTCGCCGACACGAGATTCCTCACCGTCCGACTCCTCACATGCCAATCAATCCCCGCCTGCAAAGTCGGAAATCCCGCCGGCCTCGTCGACAGATACGTAATCATGCTCTGGAGCGCGTCCATAGCCGACCCCTCCACCACATCCAGCACGGCGAACCCCAAAACGGCGTTGCCCAACGTCCCTTGCCTCGCCAGGTTCGTAACCACCGCGCCGCCTAGCGAGTGGCCCACGAGCACGATGGGTGGCAGCTCAGCCCAGTGCATCTTTTCGCGCGCCGCGCGGATCACAAAGAGTAAGTCCGCCGTCAGCGTCTCGAGGCTGAGGTCCAGAGCGGCGCCTGAGGAATCGGTCGTCGAGCCGTGGCCACGCGCGTCGAGGGATAACATGCCTGCTGAGGGCATGTGTTTGCGGATTTCGGAGGAGAGGACGGCGAAGGAGAGGCCGGAGGAGCCGGCGCCGTGGTGGAAGACGAAGAGGGGGGATTTGCCGCTGGGGGAGTTGAGGTAGGCGTGGTGGGTGATGGTGGAGTCGGGGGCTTTGAGGAAGAGTTCGCGCTCGAAGTAGGTTGTCCAGGGGATTTGGGAGAGGTTCTTGCCTCGGTCGACGCTGGGGGGGCTGTTGCTGTTAGCTCCCATGATTTTGGAAGGTGGCGCATACACTCGATTTTTCGCTTAAATTTCTCCTTCTTTCTCTTTCTCCTCTCCCCCTCCCTATTTTCTTGATTTTCTTTTTCTTTCTATAGTAATAAAAAGAGAGCCGAAATGGGAAATCCAGAGGGTCTCTGGTTTAAAGGAGTTGCAATCAACGAAGGGAAAGAAATCATGGACTGAGGGCTGTTACAGGATATAAACGTGAGAAAAGTTATACCTACGCTTGCGGTCTCGCAAACAGCCTCTGACTAGGCGACGGAATAACCGTCCCCGTAGAGCTCGCCGAGCTCGCCGAGCTCGAATCGTCATCTATCGGCTCCGGCAACTCACCCAGGCCGTCTGCCTCCTCCTCAGCTTCTCCCATCTCTGACGCCTCGTCGAAGGGCTCGAGGGCGCTGAGCTTGGCCTTCGCCCAGGCCTTTTGTAAATCGCTCATGGCTAGAATAGACTCTTCTTTGTTACCAGTGCGTCGGTATTTTTTATATGGCCAAGAAACACTGATATATGTCGTTTGTTTTCAGGGATATAGGATGGAACCGGGCACAAGGTGTGGATGAGACAAAAGGGGCGTGACGTAGTGGTTTGATGAAGGCGGGGTGCTGATATCGATAAGGTCAAAGGTGATGGCGCTTGGTGGGGTGAGACTGGAGCTCACGGCCGTCTTAAGGCCTGATGCTATATTCGTTTGAAAAGTGAGAAATCTGTACGGAAACGAGATCTAAATCTTTGCAACTAGTTTGAAGCGCCTGGCTCCCAGGTCGGCGAGCCTTGTGGTAAAGTCGAAGTGAAGTCGAGTGGTGTGAAGTTGAAGCAGCAGGTACGTACTCTCCTACTACCGTGCAATTTTTATTATACACTGTGCCATCCCAAGTTTTCAAATGGCAGGCGCAACCGACGAGGTCGAACTCTTGAAACATCACCAATTCAATCTACAACCACTTCTCGTCCAGCATCTCTCAATCCCTGGACGGGTAGACTACGAGACAAATGATCACTTATATCGACTTGTTTAATTATCATCAACTGTAGATGCTGAGCATGATTTATTCTCATCTTGGATGTAAGATCTCTAAGTAGACTCTCAACCATCGTACATCTTCACTTCTTCATAGCGTCATGTCCTGTTGTTCTCGCGCTCTTGGGGGCAACTTATGCATCTATCATACAGGAAACATCCACCCAAGAACGTTTCAGGAGGGGTAAAGGAAACGGGAGAAAAATGAAATATAAATGAAATAAATGAGAGGGTATTGTTGGCCGTGGTGGATCGACGTGACTGGGTTAAAGCTAGGGAAAGTAAGGAAAGGAGGCTCCCGTCATGAAGACCAGGGATATATATGGATGTGTGATTTGTGTGATAGAATCGAATGAAAAGAAGAGAAAAAGCGTGTAAAATGGACAATCATATGTATACAGGTCACCCTTTATCGAGGCATTATTGACAAGGTTGTCTTCGAAGAATCGCCGAGGGTCTAGTAGTATGCCCTTCCATAGCCCTGGTTGTTATAACCAGACCCATAAGCGTTGCCGTACGGCTGTTGGCCATAACCGTCCACGTTAGGCAACGTAGGCTGCCTTGAATCAAACTGCCCAATAGGCGCGGCATTCCTAATGAGACCCTCGCGGGTCTGGTCGCCGCCGTAAGACAGCGGTGTGTTCGGTGTGATGGGCCTATACGGACTGGTATAGTCATTGTTGGGCGAGAGTTGCTGCTGCTGTTGCGGCTTGTTATACGATGAGTCGTAGCCGAGATATCGCTCGGGAGAGGGCGACCGGGTGTAGCCCGACTTCTCGTAGTCTGACTTCTCGACAGCTGAGGCCATCGAAAAGGTCGTTGAGCCCTTGTTGTCGAGCTGCGATCGGTCGAGGAGAAGGGAGTTGCGGGCGTCGAGAGGGGTGAGGTTGTCCATGTCCCGCACCATTTTCTCTGTTCCAAATGTTAGCAAGGGATGAAAACTTAATCTTTGGTTAGTTAAAAAGTGGGAAAAAGATAACATACCCATCTCCTTTCTCCTCTTGCGGTGGGGGTTCTCCTTGCAGCACTGGTTGATGGCGTTCCAAATAATCAAGATCGCCAAGATACCAGTCAACGCAGACTGAACAGCAATGAGGACAACGCCAGTAATCGTCTGCGTCGTCTGCGCAATGCCAAGCTCTTCAACAAATACCAAGATGCAAACGACGGAGAGGACGCGAACGACCTGGATGACAATGTTGATGATGTTGCCGGATCGTCGTTCATAGGGTCGGCTCCAGAGGAGGAGGATAAGCATGACAGCCTCGACGATGATCTGGGCACTGGTCTGGATCTTACCGTTACCGTCGGTAACGGCGAGAAGGGTTCCCTTGACGAACATGTAAACGATCGTGGGGACAAAGATCCACCAGTAGTCTTTCTTGTAGGATTCGTAGAACAAGCTGTACTTGACCCAGATATCCTTGTTCTCATAGAGGCCACTCGTATCTCCCTCGGCTGACTTCAGCTTGCGGGCAGTGGCCCAAATCTTCCACGAGAAGAAGAGCAAGATACCTGTGAAAAGGAAGAGAGTAACACCGGCAAGGGTCTTGGCCGCCCACGAATCTCCCTTGGTAAACTGGACGACGCAGTAGAGCACCCAGACTCCGTAGAGAAGCAGAATCAAGGAAGTAATGGCACGGGCGATGGACCCCCAGTAGTGCTTGCGGAACCCGGTGAGAGCCTTGGGGAAGCTGCCGAAGAGAGCCCAGAATTCAAGAACGACCTTGACGAGGAGGATGCCGACGGCGATGGCGGCGATGACGATGGCGACGACGAGGAGGACGGTCATGAAGGTGTTGGACTCGGGAATGCTGAGCTGCTGCACGTAGGCCTGGATGCCGGTAACGGCCTGTTTTACGGGTGACATGCTGTCATCTTCGCCGGCCGTCTCGGCAACCGGAGTGGTAGTGTCGATGGAGGTCTCAATCTGTCGTGCGGCAAGCACGGCGAAGCCCTCAAGGGCTCGCTTAATCTTGAACAGAGAGCCGTTAGCGTTGGCGGTAGAGCCGTCGGGGAAGACAAGAGTCGTATTCCGCAAAATGGCCACGCTGCTTTGGGTCAAGTTGCCGCCCGTCTTGCCGCGGAAGTCATCGATGGACTCTTGCATCTGCGTCCAGGGAATAAGGCCGGTCGAAAAGGCAAAGTTCTTGGCGAAGCTTCGGTAGATGGGTGGGTAGTTGACGGACAACATGCCGTTCATGGCCATTCCCTGGAACCAGCCAAAGACTTCGGTGAAGCTGGGGCTGATGGTTCCCGTTCCGCCGACCGACGAACCTCCGGCGGCACCTCCACCAAGGGCGCTAGCACCGCCGCTCAGGGCCGCGCTGACCGCCGATACGCCGCCTACTACCAAAGCGGCGCCGGCTACGCCTGCGGCGAGGTACGATACTGCTGGCACACTGGCGGTCTTTCCGTTGGACACTTGCGACTGGATGCAGCCGACTTCTTGGCCAGTTTCTAGAGACTTGAGTTCGAGGGTCGCTAAGGCGGCGATATCGGGGACCTGGAAGGCGATGGCGGGCACTAAGTCGGCGAATTCTTTGGGAATCTCTTGAACACCACGAGCGCCAAAGGTACCAGCGGGGACTAAGATTGAAATGTTAGCCTTTCCGACTTTCTGGATCAAAGCCAACCAGAACATGATTTTGATTTTCTCTTTTCATTTTCCCTCCCTCATTTTTTTTTTTTTTTCTTTTTTCCGTTTTTCTTCTTTTTCCCTCTTTTATTCTTTCATTTTTTTGGATAAGAAGAAAACGCACCTGGGCACAGTTGTTCCACAAAGGTCCCCCTATCGCAAGGGTTGAAACTGTTCTTGTACACCTCAGCACCAAATGCCGTGACCTTGAGCTCGGCCGTCACGTTTTGAATGCGGGAACTCGATCCTTGCACGTCAAAGGTAACGGTTTGATTTTCCTTGTTGTACTGGATATCGATTTTCTGGACCTGGACCGTCGACGTCTTGTTGTTGCAGCTGGAGAAGCTCACGGTCTGAAGAATATCTGCCGCCAACGCACTGCTCGTGAGGGCCGCCACGCATGCGGCCCGGAAAATGTTCGAGGTCAACCTCATTTTTTTCGTTGAATTTCGCACCGGAGATCGATCGATGGGTTCGTAGGTGGTTTATATTTTCTCGAATAATCCGCCGTTTTCGGTGCCTCACTCGATTCAATCGACTTATAACTTTCGCCTGGAAAACAGAACACAACACAACCTTCGGCAATCGGATCGTATACGAATCGAATGTAATGAAACAACAGACAGGCCGAATCGACGAAAGCTAGTTTCGCTATAATCAAAATCGAGAAGAAAAAAGTCGGAGACCGGCAACAACACAAACGCAAAAGAAACGAAAAATCAATCACACGCTCTCTGAGGCGGGTATAACACAATTGGCAAAAAACCTCAAGAAGAGAAAAGATATAGGCCTTGTTTGAAAAGAGGATTTCAAAAAAGATGGCCGAGGATCAACCTGGAACGAATGGAAAGAGGCAACAAGTTGCCTTGAAAGAAAAGAAGCTGACGACCCGGTCGCTTGTCTCTCGGGTCCACCAGTTTGTCTATCAAGTCGGTTGATGGCGACGAGAAGAAGGTGAAAAAGGAAAAGAAACAAAAAAGAAGAGAAAGGCGAGAGAAAGAAAAGAAGGACTTGGCCAGAGATACAAAGTACTCCTCGAGTCGAGATGGGGGGAAAAAGTAGCACTCGCAAACAAAAACCCACCGGCTGAAACACCTGCAGAGGTTAACGTCCCTCCGTATGCAGGTCGGGGCAGGTCGGACTGGTAGGGCCGGCCAAGACCAGCAGGTCAGCTCACAGACACCAACCCACGCAAGACAAGTGTCTTGCCCCCACAAGACTATTTTGACGGGGGATTTGACAGACCCTGGACGGGGAGACGCTGGACTGAGGTCATTTTCGACCACGAGCCAAAGGAACGGGCAAGACTACACGGTGCCGCTACTCCGTTGCTTAGGGGCTGGCCAGGAGAGGGGCTCCTGCGGTCGTCAGCGTGGTTCGACATGTCCATATGCATCTTGGTATCCAGCTGCCCCTGTCAAGTTGCATATCAGGAGCCTACATGGTCTGAATGCTCTCACGTTGGCTCTACGTCCGCACATTCACATACAACGGCCTCCCTCTTCCTGCTAACCGCTGGCAAAGAAAGTCCCCCGCCATTGCCAATCAGTACTCGTAGTGTCTCTGACGCTCTCGCGGCCAAGGGGAAAATGGCCATAAAATGTACAGAGATACCTCAGTAGACCGACCTATTTTTTTTCCAGTGGCGTCGAGAAAAGAAAGGCAACTCGAAACTGAAGAAAAGGGGCGAAGTTAAACCCCGCGACAAGGAGGTCGTCGATCGGCAAGGGTCTTGGCCAATTCCATTGGCTGCCGAAGCCCCGGCTCTGTTTGGGTGAAAGCGAGCCAGAGCGTGGCAAGGGGCTGCCCCTGGCTCAGTCTGAAACACCCAGCGATGCGACCGGACGCCTGCAGAAGAGGCTAAGAGCGGGCGGGAGTGTAAACTACACTACTTTGTACGCATACGAGTGGAGCGTGGAAGCCCAGTCTGCCCATTTGATATTTCGTACGAAGAATTTGGTGTTCTCATGGGAATTGAGATGTATCCAGTGTATATTTAATTCCATACTGTACGCCACCGATAAAACTGAGTGGGACTAATATGATCACTTTTACGATCCATAGTAAGCGCACAGTACTCACCAACAAGCGTGGCAAGAAGCCGCGGGCGAGTCATTCGCCATTTCCTTTGTAAGTTTACGATCCTCACCATCACATTGATCACAGCGCTATTTTAAACCCTCAGGCCTCAAGCGACCCATAAGCCCATCGAAGAAAAGTGGAGTCTCACTCTCTGAACTCATCGTAGATCGGGGTTCCGCGCAGATCAGGACAACATCCAATCTCTTTCCCACTTTTGCCATGATGCTGCCATTGGCTGGATCTGTCGAAATCGATGTCGATGCGCGAGATGTGTAGAGTGCTTGAACATCTACGTAATTGAGGAGTGGCTGTGAGGAAATCTTTCATGCTGCTTCGGCTCCCAAGTACCGGCATGATCGAGTGAGGCATAGATGGTTGAAGAAAATTGTCTGTGCGAATGGACGGGATAACCAGATTTGCATCGTAATGCTTGCTGGGATCCTTGCTTATGTGCAGGGATTGGAGTAGGATTCCGAATTTGGTGCTGCTTGTCAGTATTATGATGGAGGCAGGTTGGTGGCTGGGCATCCAAACCCACGGGTCCTGCAGAAATTGATATCCACCACAATCTGGAAGTTGAATTGCTTTCTTAAAAGCATCTCCCCTTGGCCTACCTCGGCCGTCTGCGCGTGTTCCCGTTGTTTGCTAGTCGGATCCGAAGACAGAGGCACGAACAGAACGGGTTGGGAACATCCTGGGAGATGCACGATATCGTCTTCACGAACATTTGAATGAAAATCGGAAGAAGAGGCGAGTTAAACAGTCCCACAAGATGGTGTGGAGGAATGGGTGTGGCAAGTTGATTCTTGCTGAACGGTCCAACCTGTCTCGATTCTCGGGAGTCACAAAAGACGATGTTTACAAGCGTTGAGAAGAGAGAAGATCGCCAGAGTAGCTAAGAGGAGGCCTAAGGTGCAATCAATCTTTCCGCCAGGTCCTGCATCCTATAACAAAGGCCAGTAGTGGCTTTCCAGAACCAAGTGCTAGTTTTATTCCCAGATTGCCTCCATCAATCTCCAATATTCCAGTGTTAGACTTTAGGAACTCTCCTCCATACTCTAGGTAAGCAGGTGATCCTCAAGAGGTTCGAATAATTTCCAGATAGGCCCAGCAATAACACATGCTATTGAGCGGCCGGGCTCTTATTCTAACTCTATCCACTTGTTGCTCTTGTGACGATGCATTCCTTCGAGTAAATGCCTACACATGGAATGCAGGACAAGCCACTATGTTAGTGTTTGACTGGGAGAAGTCACTTCGAAATGTGTCTAGAAACGAGACGTGACACTTGGGAATCTTCACTTCATCCAAGAATCGTCTGGAAAATGCTGAACTAGTCAGCAGAATTCTGCAGACTAAAAACAAACACGAACAAGAGCATATGGCAGATAGACGCCAGACGAAGATGTTTTAGTCAAGGCCCGACTACACAGATCACCAAGCAACAAGAGACCACAGTGAAGAATACCAGTTATGACTCAAAATGACCTTTTCATTAATCTGCAGCTAACGGTAGCTTCTTTGTTTCTGTTTGTAATTTTTGTATCTATTGGTACCAACACATCATGATACCGGGTATCTTCATTATCTTCTGGTCTTAAGTCTGGGTGGAATGTATCTGCTGAAATCGGTCGAACCTGTTCCAGTCTGGGTAGGCTAGTTCCAAAGCGCTCTTCTTGAACACCTAGTTCTGCGGAAGGTTGCTCATGCTGCCGCCCATGCCCTCGCTGAGCCACTCGGGCTCCACCATTTTATCCTTCACCTGGTACAAGAACCTGTACGCAGTCCTGATCGTGCCGTCGCTGACCCCCGCGACAGCAGCGATCTCGCGCGAGGTCTTGGGATCGCCCATGAGGTGCGACGCCATGTAGATACAGGCCGCGGCGACCGACAGGGGAGACCTTCCGGCCAGGTCGGCGACTTGGCTCGTCTTCTTAGCCAACTCCCTCGAGACGTTTTCAATCCGTTGGGTGTTCTTGAAGATGAGCTGCGAGCAGTAACGCGCGCAGAGCGACTCGGCGCTCGTCGAGCCAGTGCTCTCGTATCCGCCCGCGCTGGCCACGCCAATGTTGACGTCCTCCTGCTTCTGCTTTTGGAGGAACGACTCCAGCAGCTTGAAGACCTTTCCAATATCCTTTTTACCCACTCTCGTGAGGTTGTGGATCTCGCGGAAGGTGCGAGGGACGCCGGCCTGTCGACATGCAATGAAGATGCAGCCTGCGATGATGGCTTCCTGAGGCTTGCCCTTGAGGGCCTTTTTCTCTTCGACGAGCTTGAAGATGTGCTTCGCCGCTTCTGAGATGTGCTTGGGGATGTTGATCGAATCGCAGTATGTACCGATCTCCTTGTATGCTTGGAGGAGCGTCTTGGTGGTCTTGTCCTGCTGAGCCGTGGTGTTCTGGAGACGCGCGAGCGTCCTGCTCTGGCGAGTATCGGCGTTGGCGATACTGGTCTCTAGCTGAGAGCCGTTCAAGAGCGGGTTTGCCGAGTCACCGACACGAGAGGGGTCATCGCCGTTCTGATCATCGTTGGCAAAGCTTCGCCACTCGGAGCGCGTGTCGATGATGCGGTCGCCTAGGACGAGGCCGCACGAGTCGCAGACGATGTCGCCGGCAGAGTACTCTTCCTTGAGGTTTGGAGGATACTCTCTGCAATCAGGGCACGTCAGGATATTGTCAAGATTCTCCTGGAATTGGGTGCCTCCTCGTCTGACGGCGGGGTCCATCATCGTGATGGTTGGGGTGGCGAAGCGCCGACCGTGTGGAATGGAACCGTCTCGTTCAGGATGCGGTCAATCAAGACGTTGGCGTCTGGGAATATTCGGTGTATTGGATGAAATAGACGCAGAAACAATTGGTTCTTGATGAACGAGCGGATTGGAGCGATGCAGGACGCAGTTTGTGGTCAAGCAGGTCGCTGGAAAGGTTTGTGAAGAAGAGAAGTGGTGATGAAATGTCGTTGCACCGTTTCAGGCAGGATATGTGACGAAAGGGCCAGCCTTACTTAGCGCCTCAAAATTGTAGCCAATCAGAGAAATTCCGGACCCACTTAGTCACTCTGGGGAAGGAAAGGGAAGGAAATGCTGACTAATATTCTTGGAACTAAAAAAGGCGTTCTCTTCCACATTCGCTACGTAGGAACCATCCAGCACCTTCCTGTGATTTCGCTGTCCAGAGACAGCCGACTTGAGAACGCAACCCCATCAGTGCCGTCTAGGAAGTCGTAATTCCGAGAAAGAAACGAAATAATATCAAATGCCACCCACACTACTTTCTGTGCTGCAAATCAGGGGCGGCTAGAGGACACTAACACTTCTGATCGAGTATAGAAATGGCGAAACTCCGCGTGCTACGACTTAATTCTAGACTCTCCTAACGATTTGGCGGACAGAATGTGGAATAGAGTTGTTGACGAGTATCCAAAGAGAACACGCGCAAAACATGCAATGGGATTGCCGGCGGCGACGAAGATTTCGAGGCTCTGGGGATGGCCTTGGGAGAGTGGGTCCACCCCCCATTCTCAGCATTGCTCTCCGCTCAGACGACGACATTTGGTCATTGGTGCGTCCGGTTCTTACTCTAGGAGTTCTCGAACTCCGGCTGGGCAGCCCATTTTGAACCCTGGACACAGCAAAATCGGTGTGTTCCTGGCCGTGGGCTTATAGGGTGCTGTTACTCCCGGTGAGGAGCGAGTGTTTTCAGCTCGCTTGATGTGTCTGGATCCAACGTATCCCGAAATTGGTGGCCTATCCCCTAGGAATACCCTCCTAGAGGGCAGCGGAAATTCCGCTTCCTCGGACAATAGACGGGCCCCCTGTGCGCGAGGGACCGAAATTTGATATCAACACACCACCTTGATAGCGCATATGGGGTTGAAGCGTCCCGGAGTAGGTCGCCCAATCACTGATAACAGCCTCCTCTAAACAAGGGGCGCCTGATTCCTAACTTCTACTTCGTTTTCCTTGCCCCCGTTGTGGTATTCCTTTCTGTTCTTTCTTTTCCGAGCGAGAAGCCGACACCCCACGCGGAAGCGGCGCGCAACAGCCATTCAACTCTGAATAGGCAATGCACATGCTATCGAAGAAACCTCCGATATAGCCATGACAATGAACTTGCGCAGCCGCTTTTTCTATCTTTACGCGCGTCTGAAACACACGTGTGGTTCTGGAATTGTTCAGGTCATCTCATGACATTTTCACGTGGGAAGACGGTGGCTTTCAGCGGCTTGATAGGGAACATACGGGCAGCGTGATCAAAACCGGAATGCCGGAGAGCGGAAATATTTGAATGCCAAACGCCTTGTGCCATCTTGTGAATGTATAACCTTCACATGCCTGCCATATACTCGATGATAACTTGTTTCAAGCACGGTCGGTAGACCTAGTGACGTCTGTCGGTGATTCCTAGAGGTGAGCCGGAATTCTTTCATCCAAGCCTGCATGGGTCGATACAAACGACCGTGCCAAGTCGAAACATCCCCAGGTTTCTGTCATACAAACCACATGTCTCGCATGTGAAAGATTCAGGGACTTTATTCTTTCCGAGCGAAGAAGAGCGCGTCTCCAGTTTTTTAAGAGGGGTGGTTTGCTCAGGGCGAAGAGCATCAAGCTAGGGCAAGCGGCGAAGAGGTATGTGCTGGTCGAGAGGCCGCTGGTATCGAACCGGCGAAGCTGATAAGACATGGGGCTTGTTTCATACTCATATTGCGTCCGTCAGCTGCTGAGAAAAGGCCAGGTTCGAAGAGAGGAAGGAGCCAACCTTTTGTACCTTCCTCGACGGACCCGGCCCCAGCCATATGCTTTATATATGAGGATCTGGCAACAACTTCTAACCGAGCAGCTCAAGCAGTGGCGACACTACAACCAGTGGCCAAGTGGTCAATGGAGCGCTCAGAAGGTTAGAAAATCGCAATTTTCGTAGCTCGTGGGAAGCAACCTGGATTCGATCCTGGGAGCGACTCGCGAGCGAGCTTTTTGTTTTTGCCCTTTTTGTCCTTGTTTCTTTCTTCTTTAATCGAAATAACCCCGACTTATTATTAGTCTTGAGAATTAAATGAAAAATTGTTTGATTCTATTACAATGTAATCCTCTTGATTTTTTATTTTTGTAAGGGAAATGATATTTCAGTATTGAATCGAAATTCTGATTTATCTCGAGTTCTCCCCGCCTGGAGTCAAGATTGTGGAGTGGAGTGTTTTCTAAGGCTGCTTAGTGATACGCCTTGCCACCCCATCCAGTGCAAAAATTGCCCGATCGAGGCATCAATAATTAATCAAATCAAGGGAATGCTTCAACTGTCAACGCCCAACCCAATTTCAGTTTTCCCACTACAAAACTCTGTACCTTGCTACCCTCTCATATCATCTCATCCAATCTGGCGGATACAGGCCAACGGCCAGCGCAGCAACCTAGTGCGGGAAAGGTCCTCCGCAGGATCTAGTTGACACGAGCTCTCGATGTGTGGAATTTACGCGTCCATTAGCAGACGTGACGGGCTCGTACCATCCAGCGCTCTCCAGTCGCGTCTTGTGAAGAGGGGACCTGACCATCTCGGGACCACACGGGTGTCCGTCAAATCCGGCGAGGACAGTCAAGTAGCGGAAATTTTTCTGACATTCCAGGCGACTGTCTTGTCCCTGCGTGGTCGTGGCATTACCGAGCAACCTTTGGTGAGGGCAACCTCGGGTGCCATCCTCTGCTGGAATGGAGAAGCTTGGACCTTAGGAGGTAAGACTATTGCCGAGAACGATGGTGCTGCCGTCCTGTCGACCTTAGATGCTGCGTCGGGCGAGGATGCCGTTCTGGATGTGCTCCAGAGCATCAACGGCCCCTTTGCCTTCATCTACTATGATCCCCGGGATGGCGGGCGCATATATTTTGGTCGCGATCGTCTGGGTCGCAGGTCGTTGTTAGTGCATGATGGAGAAGACTTTATTCTATCAAGCGTCGCCGACCCAGGTCTTTCTGGCTGGGTGGAGGTCGAGGCAGATGGTGTCTACTCCCTGGATGTAGCACGTTTGGGTGATGCGCGTTCCGGATCCGTGACTATGCCCATGGTCAAGCGACATGTTTGGCTGCCAGAGGACCTCGGGGAATATGTGAGTGGTATCGTCCCTAAAGCACTGCTACCACGGGAATGCAGTTTACAGTACCACTCACAAACATGGCCATCAAAGATGTCAAATATAGGGATTTTCAATATGGCTTTGCCTCCCGAAGATGCTGAGCCTCTACATTCTGCATCTAAACCGGTACAAGCCTTACGAGAGCATTTAGTTCAGTCACTTTCTTTGCGCGTGTTGAATATTCCCCAACCGCCTAGGGTTCCTGCAGTATCAGACTATGAGGTTGATACCAGAGTTGCCGTCCTATTCTCGGGTGGGCTAGACTGCACAGTCCTGGCCCGCCTGGCAAGCGAGTTGCTGCCGCCGGAGCAAGGAATTGACTTGATTAATGTAGCCTTTGAGAATCCCCGCATTGCTGCGAGACTACAGCCTGCGGAAGACGACGAGTTTGCCATCTACGAGGCCTGTCCTGACCGTATTACGGGAAGAAAGTCTTTCCAAGAGCTGCGTGATTGCTGCCCGGGGAGGCGGTGGAGATTTATTGCTGTCAGTTGAGATTCTAACCCCCTATCCCCAAGCACTTGTGTCTGCTACATTTGCAATCTTTCACTGCGGAGGCATAAAAAGAGACTTTGCTGCCGCCCTTTACAGATCGGCGGGAGGAAACTCATCATATATATGTGTGTGCAGGTTAACGTACCATACTTGGAGACCCAGAGCCATCGAAGTGAGGTGGTAGCGCTCATGCATCCTCACAATACCGAGATGGATCTGTCGATCGCATACGCTCTTTATTTCGCTGCCAGAGGTATTGGCATTGATCACACCGATCCTGAAACGCCCAGCAGCGCCCGACTTGTTTCCACGCCTGCAAGGGTGCTCCTTTCGGGCTTGGGAGCCGACGAACTCTTTGGTGGTTACGTGCGGCATGCTACCGCTTTTGCGCGGAAGGGCTACCATGGTTTATTAGAAGAGCTCAAGCTGGACGTCGGGAGGCTTGGGAAGAGGAACCTCGGTAGAGATGACCGAGTTATGTCGCATTGGGGTCGAGAAATTCGATTCCCATTTCTGGATGAGCAGCTTGTTAAATGGGCTGTTGAAGCTCCCGTTTGGGAGAAGTGCGACTTCGCCGTGCCCGGGAAGGAAAGTGTTGAGGCTGACAAGAGAGTTCTCCGTTTACTTGCGGCACAACTCGGAATGAAATCCGTTGCAAGGGAGAAGAAGAGAGCGGTTCGTTGCCTAAGAGACAAAGCCTTGCCCACCTTTTCTCTATTTGCTCCCCTTATCTGTCTCTCCTTAGCAAATTGCACATGATTCGGTCACGAACATCGGCTAACTTCTTTTTGCTCTCCTGCACTTGCAGATTCAGTTTGGATCGAGGACGGCCAAAATGGAGAACGGCAAGACCAAGGGCACGCATTTGATCTCTGGCTAGGGACGGCAGAGGAGTGCCGAGCGAGCCATGGTACTGAAGGTATAGATATGTGTGCCGCAATTTCCGGTTACCCACTCGGGAGAAGCCAAGCCCCAAGGCCCCCTCCTTGAACCTAATCGTACGGTCAAGTGTCGTGCCGTGTTCCCTGGGTGCAGAAGACCTGGTTTGAATCGGGCAAATCTCAGAAATCTCTGGCGATGATGACACAAACAGATACTTCTGAGTCGATCGATCCGCTTTCCCATTATGTTTGCAGACGCTGCTTCATATCTCCTTGGAGTTGGCCATTTCTTTCTCTGCTTTGGGAAGGCGCTAAAGCGATGGGGGGGAAGCTGTGCGTTTTCGGCCGTGAGCTGATAACCCCGATTCCCCCCTTGTTGCAGTCTCTTTCCTAGGGCTGGGAGAGGAAGAGGCTGCTTTAGGGCTGAGATTGGAGTCTGGACGACGCAAAACAGGAGCGTTGATTTGACTGTGACGTCGTAAAAGGCAAGTCTGAGCCAGAGTGCGTGCTGCAAAGCGCGGCATCATGTTTGGGGGCAGACCCTATAATAATACAGCCTTACATTCTCAAAATCTCACTTCGTGTTGTCTCGTGTTTCAGGTTTCCTCGCATTTCATTCGGTGATGTATTCTTTTCGGAGCCCACACGTTTGTTTCTACTAATGCTTTCCTCATGACATGAGCTACGACTCAATTGGATCTATCTGTTTCCGATATTGTATGAGATCAGTGGCGAGGCAGGCTATCAATCTGGGAAATGAGTATGATTCCGTGTATGATTACAGTCTTGATGCAAGTCCATTTATGATTTACGGCTTGGCTATTACACGTATTGTTCTTTATTTCAGCAGTGGGTGATTTACATGCTATGAGCGACGAGCAAACCCTGGAAACACGGCCTCGAATCGAGCGGGAAAATAGGGGAGCGACAGCTTTGTTTCTTGAGAACCAGGCTTTTGGCTTTGGGAGGGGGACGCTGCGCTGTTGGCGAAGGGAGCGTCCTCGCTAAGTGTCGGAAGGAGGCAGATCACCTTAAGCGATTGGATGCTATCATCACTCAAGTTGTGTGATGATTCAGTGCTATGATTATGGTGTTATATCCAATTAATCTTGTCATTGTACTGCTCGTCTAGTAGATCCAGGATTCCGGAGACCACGTCTTCTAACTTTCCCAGGATACAGGGTCCGTCTTGTTCCACTTTTGCTTTTGCGGCTCACTTCTCCGACACCTCCTTGGTCAAAGCACCATCACACACGGGAGAAGATGCAGCATCGTCGTCGATTTTGGGTGGGTGCCTGAATGTCGCAGACCCTTGTTGATGCAGCAGATCACGGAGCACGAGCCCATTGTTGAAACCGAGTTCAAGCAGTTTCGAATCCCCAAGAAGTTTATTCTCCTTTTTTTCCCAAGGACTCGAGGACCATCATTTGATTTATCCTATTTTCCCATCGAATGGGCAAAATGCCTCTACTCGCATCAGCGGGCACATCTGCGCTTCAATGTTTCCTCGCCCAGGAAAATGGCGGCGATATTTTTAATTACTTGGTCTTCCAGCGCAGTTACCCGCTAATTGTTTAGTGGTCCCCTAATGATCGATGGCTAAATAGCAGAGGCTGAGCGGCTGGACCAGATATTTTCTACAGAAGGGCGATGCGCTGGGTGATTGACTCTTGTTCTTTGATGAGCGTTAATTTGTTTGGAGTTTCCTGGAGGCAGGCTATTCTCTTACCGTTGAGTAACATTGAGGCTCTCGCTTTTGCTTATATTTTCCGGATTGTGCTTGTGCTTGTGCTTGTGCTTCTTCTTTTCGATGGCTTCGAGATTATTCTTCGGAGAGAAAAACGTATGGCTCCGCTCGGTTTCGGGATCCAGCGCTCCGGGCTTCCGTGCGGGTTTTCCAAGGCTCTCAGCTGGTCGAAGCTTTCTTTCTAGTCTAGCAAAGGAGTTGTCCTATGAATACTTCGTATAGCGAGGTGCGCTGTGACGCGCCAGTCCCTGAAGGGCAAGGAGGAGTCTCCTATGCCTTTCGCAATTCCGTTTTCTGGTTGACCCGGAATGAGAAGCGGAGATGATCAAGGTTAAGTCGGAGATCCTCACATCGGCGGTCATCCTCCTTAGTCCGACCCATTGGAAACGCGCCACTTTCACAACCTCTCTTTCCCCCACATACTCACAGCGCCTATACGAAGTAAGGGCTTGGGTAAGACACGCCACGCCTCCCGCCTCAACCATGAAATTGATCTGCGGTTTCGCGAGACGTGTGCTGGGACCTGGTTGACCAGTCATCGAGTCACTTCTCAGCCTAGCTCTTACAAGCCCTCTCCCTTTCTCTTGCACGCCATTCTACCTCAAGTACGTAGAAACGGGGTTACTACGTCACTTATACTTCTCTTCTTTGTTTTCTCTCACCTCCTGGGGAAACCCTGCAGCATACTTGAGGCGGCCGGGGCCCATGTCCTGATTTCTTCTGCATCTTCATCTAGTCTAATTTCTTTTTATTCTTATTCTAGCCCAACCACCCTGGCAACAAGAGCTTGAACATTTTTTGTCTCAAGTTTCAAGCTCATCTCTCTTCATAAGAAGTTTGCTGGCCCTTGTCCCTGGCATCAACCTTCCTCGGCAGCTATTGCGTCTTCTCTTCTCGACGGGATACCCTTCACTTACACCATCCTTTTATTGACTCCGCCTCCCTCTATCACTCCCGGACTTCGCAAGCTCTACCTGATCCGGCTTCCATCATCGCTTGTGTGAAGCCGTCTCCTTTACGGATCTCTCACGCTGAGGTCTTATTCGAACCAACCTCCCACCCACCATACTCACACACACAAACATTTCAAAAATGGAGCGAAGCCACCGGCCCCCGCCGCTCAACCTCACCCCTCCCGGCTCCCAGCGCAACTCCCGCCAGTCCAGCGTCTCCCGCATCACAATATCTGTCAAGGGCCAATCGCCCACGACGATATCGGTTTTCGAAGAGGACACCGATGACTGGAACACGGGGCAATACGTGACGGCCTTGAGGGTATTTTCGGACTTTGTCCATATTCTTACCTGCATGATTCTTCTGCTCATCATGGCTTTCTTCCTCAACTATGATGATGGAGCCATTAGCGGACCTTTCGGGTAGGTTTTTGTCCCCATTTGACAGAAAAATGGAGGTAAAAAAGACTAACAGTTGTTCAGTGCGCCTGCAGTCTTCCTCTTAGTCCTGCTGGGCTTAGACATCATTCTAGATTTCCAGTCAATCGGACGTTACGACAAGATGTGGAAGGGCTGGGCCCTCGTGCTCCGGCTCGTCTTTGGCATGGGGTACACGTCTACCTTTATAGCGTACATCGCCATGGGACGCGCGTTTCCCGCTGAATACAGCTATTGGGGCCTCACGGCACAGTATGCTACACCGATGGTGTACATTTTCCTTTGGATACTCGGGTAAGTTCTCTCATACCCCTCGCTTTGATACAAACTTTTTCAAGGCGACTAACAGAAGTTGTTCTAGTGTCTGGAATCTGGTCTACTGCGCCATCAGCCGCCGCCAATTCACCAACGAGATAAGGAGATACCGCGCTGCTCTCTCCGGTGATGAGCAGACATCAAACACCAGGACTATCAAGTTCGGGTCCGCCAGGCAGTGGGATGCTGAGGCTCGTGCCGGGATGCCCAGGCCTGCTGTTATTAGGTCCTAAGGGGGATCTATCACAAAACAGAGGCGGACGAAAAGAGAGAAGAAAAGATAATAGGGAAATTGATGCGCATAATAAGCAACAGGCGCATGGAAAGGAAAGGAACGGCCCTCGTTGAAAACGAGTCAAGCTTTGCATGAGATACCAGACTTGGGAGGGCTGAAGGTGCAATATTTTGTATCATGAATGATGAACTTGTATAGAATTTGTAAAATTTTCAAACTGCTGTATCAATACAATGGAATCGTCTTCGCATGTCTATCTTCTTGTGTTTCTTGAGACTTGCGGGAATAGGAGGGGGTTAACACATACAGCCATGCAAAAAGGGAATGCTTTTGTTTACATGCACACAGGTATTATGCACCCGGGAGTATATAGCCAGTTCGCAGGTAAAGGAAGGGGGCTATCATTCCTCGCTTAGGTAGCCGAGTGGATCGAGGTGGGTGTTTGCGTAAAGAGAGGCTCCGGGCGAGAAGAGCGAGAAGTGAGTATCATGGTCATTACTCCAGATCACTCGTGTCGACAAGGGTGAAACCTCGGTCAAGCAGCTCCTGCGCCGCGATCCCCATGCAGAAATCTATCATTACTCCAGACTTCGGGGCATATCTGAAGAACCCGAGCACATCCCCGTTTTCATTGAGAATAGCGCTCCCGCACATTCCGTCGGGGAGGTCACTCGCGGACTTTTGCCCAATGCACAAGTAGTTCCAACTCGATCCAATCATCCTTGCATTGGTTCAGGGAGACCGTGGAAAGGGACTATTAAGCGGCTCTGGCCCAAAAGTGTTCCCATGATAGCGCCAGCGTCGGGAGAGTCTAAGTGAATGAAGGTAATATTACAAAAGCGTTCAGAGTCACACAAGCTTGGCTAACGCGATGTCAGTAGAGTGGCAATCTCCCCCATTGGGCGACCGCGAGATGGCAACGGGTGCATGACTTCACCTCCGCACCCATCTGGAAATCCATGGGAGGAGACGCGCAACACTTTTGGGCCATGACTTTGGCAGCCTCTCCCCGGTATAGAAACACTCCATCGATACCTATCCCTAGATTTCCGGGGAAAACGCTTCGCGGCAAGTCCCCGCAATTCTTCCTTTGAGGAAACGCGGTTGGTGAGACTGAGAGATGATCAGAGAGGGAGATTGAAGTTCTGCAAGAAAGTAGAGAATGTTTACGGTGGAAGGAGCTGTCGAGTTATTCCGAAGTACTCCGTATATTCTCTCACATGTCCACTTTTCTCCTCAGGCCCTTCTCATTTTCCTTGCCTTCCTGATCATCTTGTGCCGTCTTGTCGCAGACTCAAGCTCTGGCCCCACACCCCGAATTGCATACCCAATCATAAGCTCGTCAGTTACCACTTTTGGCAGGACCTACTTGCCAGGATGGGGAGGCGGTTGCCTGGCACGAGAAAGGCGCCTTACCCCGGGCTTGCGTGTTGACGATGGCGGTCTAGGAACTAGAAACTTTGACCCGACTCCGTATTGTTCCTTCTGAATATAAATGGCGGGGTAGTAGATCCAGAGTCACTCGATGAGATATGTACGGTTGGCAAATATTTGTTGTTGAAATAATAGATTTATGACCAACCACTTCAGAGTGGCACGTCGCTCATTTTTGGTGTAGTGGTCTAAATCTAATACTTGTTAATACAACTTCCATCCTATTAGGTTACTACACTCGGAAGGAGCCTACGACCAGCTCTCCGTCCCGGCTCGTTCAATGTTGGCCGATGCTGCCCTGAGTGTATTAAGGATGGCATTTTCCCGTAGACCCGCTCAGGGCCGCAATGCAAGCAATCGACTTGACGCAATTCATTCACCGGCGTTGAAGTCTTTCCGGAGTGAGGGGCGAAAAGCTTGTCAGCCTTTGGCAAATGCAGAATGCAGACGAGTCTAGAACGTCCCAGATCCCCTTTTTCGAGCGGTGAAGCCTTGCCTCCGGTGCTGCACTGCCGTCGCTTCCAGCATTTCCTTCGCGATCATAGCCTCTCAGGGTGAATACAAAACTCCGAGTAAGCTCGTTGGTAGTCACTATCAACGAGGGTAAGGAGGTATAAAGGACAGAATATCGTCGAAACGCGGATCCCAAAATGGATTCTCGCTAGACCGATTGAGTCGACGCTTGTGTAGTCGCTGGAAGCCTGGGCTGGTATCAGGTCGGAGGAGGCCATGGCTTTCTAGATCGACTGCGTCCAGTGGGGCAAGAATGGCGCCCACGAAAGTTCCAGCTACTTGCGACATCTCGATACGAAGATTACCCTGTACCGTGGTTGGATGGTAGATTTTCTTTGAACGAACAGTCCTCAATTTTGAAGTAAAAGTGCTGGTATATGTTGTGTCCGATTTAGGTTTGCCCTGTGAGTGACTCGAGTCTTCGAATGCTTTGATAACTCCTTCCTCCTCCTCTTCCACTTCGTCCCCAGATATGCCACTTCTGATCTTGTGAAAGTCACCTTGATCCCACTTTCCCTATACAATGGTAGCTCCTTTTACATGTGAGGCTTACATACGATGCAATACAGCAGCATGTGCAACAACAATCACTGCAAGTTCAATGCTAATGGGAGAGAGATTTGGGCCTAACATTACTGAATACTACAAGAATTCAACAAAATCAAATCTGAGGCCAATAAAACATTCATCAACTCCTCTCATAGCAACCCTACAACTACCAATTTCATCATCAACATCCATCAATACCCTCACCAACATACAACTCCATCATCAACAGCACCGCTTAGAGTATTCTGAGCCTTTCGAAACACAATGGCAGGGACGGACCAGAATCCCCAAACAGCCTCCCCGTCCATCGGTACGCCTGCAAACCTCAATCCCGAGCCAGCATACAAGTACCGACGGACCCTTCCAACCGCCATCTCTGGCCATGCCATACCCGATGTCCATAAAAGCTCCATCATCATTGGAGTCTGTGGAGTTGACCTGGGCAACGCCGATCCCACTGATGGCGGCGACGGCTTGTTTCTGGCAGATTTTTGTGCCTTCAACGCTTTATTGAAAGGGCTTGGAGCATCTCAAACCTCGATATCAGCCGTCTCCGAGCAAAGCCTGCTCAAGTATTTCCAGGATCACCCGGAGCTCGCACCGGGGTACTTGCATGGCAATCCACACCAAGAGCGAAGAGTGGTGTTTAGCGAAGAAGTGGTATCGCGGGGCTTGCTAACCCCATTTACCGTCGAGGAGCCAACCAAAGTCACCTCAACGCTGCTCGAAAAGCTACAATCGGCGTGCAACTTGGCTCTCCAATCCACCCCATCGAATCCCGTCCTTGTTCTACTCTTTGGCCACGGCATTGAAGATCTGGACCTTTGCTTGGACTATACCAAGACAGACCGTCAAGGGGGCCTGATCTCGAGCTTGACACTGGGGGATTTTCAAGCGTCTATCGATCCCGCGGTGTCGGTCACCGTGCTGACCACAGCTTGCTTCTCCGGTGGGTGGGCCGTGTACCCAGACCTGAATGCAACAGTGCTCACGGCAGCCGCTCGTCCTCCCGCCTGCCTTCTGGACTCGCAGGGGAAGGAACCTTGGTTGAGCCAGTCATCGGATAAATCGTTCGGCATCGGACGATTCTGCGGCTCGATGTTTGCAACTTCCATTATCGAGACGCTCTCTAACTCAGCCAGCCCGCTTCTTGAGTTACCATCCGCAATAGAGGACGCGGCCGGGAGTGCGACCTGTGCCGCGCTGCAGCCCGAGAACCCGACGGAAGAGCAGTCGGAGACTTACAACGAATTCTGCAGGGCGGTAGTTCGAACCCTCCGAGAGTCGTTCACCAGGAGGAATTCTCAGCACACGTTTCGATTCTCCGCGAAAGACGACGAGTGGGCGCAATGCTGGATGGGGCGCACCGGAGTCCCGCTGACCCATTTCCAGGATAGGTGGAACCAGCTCCCCGTCCATGCCTCCTCGGGCACTCGGTCATTTTTGAACCAAAGCCCGGCCGTACAGGTAGGAGGCCACCACTCGACGTCCCTAGGAGGGGTATATTCTGCAACAGACCCGAAAGCTCCTGAGGTTTATGGTGGGCGGACCGCCAAGGGTGGATCTCGTCGATGGGGCTCCACCTCCCGCTCATTTCGCCGGAGACTCCAACAAGACGCCCGGGAGCTTGCGAATAGCTGCCCCGGTGATTGGAATAATGGCGTCAATATGCCCATCCTGGGCATGCTCCACCGATATGCGCGGGGCGATCCAAAGGGACTCGAGCGTGAGGAATTCGTCTTTGATGTCGTCACCTTTCGCCTAGAGACTGCCAACTTTATCAATAGAATGGTACACAAGTACCGTCTTGTCCGCCCTTACGACCAGACTGTCCTCAAGTGGGATCGTCAAAGATGGCAACACGAACATGACCTCGATTGTCCGAGATTCAATCATATCTGGGATTGCATGCGCTCGGAGGGAGTCCGCTGGCATGGGACGCGATCCCGAGGATCCTACTTTGGTCGGAGTCATGGATACCTTGCGGCCGCCCTCTTCGACTCCGACCTATCCGATTCGGAGGTGGAGACGATCGTCAAGGGTATCGCATCACACATGTCCTATGTCAAGGCAGAAGCAGCGAGTAGGGTAGAGCGACACCCGTCAGTCCGAGAGACTGCCCGCCGCTGGTTAGGGTCAGTTGGGAGAAAGATCCGTGATATGTAGTTCATCAAGCGGTCGGGAAGCAGCCGAGGAAGGGATACTAGCGGTCACTGATGGGTATTGGAGGTCGTTAGGGAGTAGGATTAGATATGCGATGGCCAGCCAGTTCGACTCAGGAGAGGTATTCACTAGTCTGCATTAATACGGGGAGTAGGGAAAATGATTTGTGGTGGAAGCGGCCGAGGAAGCGGTACCAGCGGTTGTTAACGCGAGGTTGTCAAAGAGCAAGATCAGACTTGCGTTGATCAGCCAGTTCGACTCAGGAGAGGGTTTACTAGCCTGCATTAATATAAGGAGTGGTAAAATCCATTGATGGCCAAAAGCTGTTTTCTAAATATGTTTATTAAAAAAGTGCAAACAGAGCAGTATCTGGCAAGATGTAAGTGAAGGCGTAGATCCCCACATTATGGGACAGTCTAGAATGCAGCTAGTATGCAGAGCTTCGACGTCGTGAGAGGTGCCTGACTCTCAGAGGGAGACGTCTCTTCACTTGGATTCGCCAACGGAGGGAATGCATGTCAGGTCCAGGGCCTCCTCGCCCTTGGCTTCGCTGTCTGATGATATCGAGAAAGCATCGTCCCGAGATGGACCCTCGGTGACAACAAGGAAGCCGTTCTTATGAGGTACTAGGGAGAGAACTATGATCCTCCAAAACCGGACGGTGTTGTCAGTCCTCACCGCTGTTGAACTCCTTCATGGCGCGGCTGCTGCCAGGGCATCGTTTTGTCAAAGAATAGGTTTGGAAATCCGCAAATTGAAGATGATGAGGTAGGGATGTAAACCAACTTACCACAATATTGACGTAGGCAACGAATAAATAACGTTCAAAGTCATAAACCAAGTTGTGGGAGTAGAGGTTCGTTGGGAACGCACCTTCCTAGTTTTGAGAGTGGCACACACATATGTGCTATATATATATACGAGAATTTGGGTCTGGATTCTCACCGTCTCATGGGGGCTCAAGTGGTCGAGCGGTGACGCACTGCTCATAAACTACTTCCGCAAGGCGCCGGCGTGGAACCCGGTCTGGTCAAACCATGAGACGTGGAGGAAATTGGGAGCTGGGAAAGAGAGATTGGGCATTGGGGAGGGAGAAGCGGGAATAATTTTTTTTGGCCAGATTTTCTTTAATTTAATTTCGTTTCTTTTCTGCTGGGGAATCCTGGTTTTCTTGGTCTGTTGAGGTTGTGATGTGTTCCGAGATACTTGGGGATGTGTCTCGGCCTGAAGCGTGAAGCTTTGGGAGAGGTTGTTGGTTCGAAACTGATTTGGGGTCTTTGCGCCTTTTTTCTTTCCCTTTTTTTCTTTTTTTTTTCTTCTTCTTTTTTATCCAGGCTCAGCTTCTGGGTATCTTTATCACTCAAGACACGTGATGTCTACTTCGTATAAGGCTCTGCGTTTCTCGCAAAGGTAGGTTTACATCGACTAGTTATGATAGTGTTGCCTGGATGATTCAGAAAGTATGGCTTGGCTTCATTGCGCAGATGCTGGAGTACGCTGAAGCACTGGCAACTGATGGAGACGAATATCACGACGATTCTCGAGGAAGCAGACTCAGCCAAGTAAGCACGGAGGGATTTGTTTAGATTGTGGAGAGAGCAACGAGAGGAATAGCTAGGTGTTGCCCCCGCTGTCGACTCTCAGAGTCTCTCACCTGAGATTCTAGGCTGCATTATTTTTTGAAGCATTGCCCACAGATGAACAATCTAGAGACTTCGCGCATTGTCCTCGGAGAAAAGACATGGTCCCAGAAATTCTTCTCGTGGAGAGGGAGGGACAATAAGAATGTTGAAACTGGCATCCTTGTCTCCCAATTAAATCTCTTGTCATTGTCATCCTTGCTCTGCAGTACGAAGTCGGTCGGGACTCAGCCCCGGATGTCGGATGAATGTCTCCCTCCCTGTGCGGTGTGCATCGTTGGCCTCACAGCATGAGTCAAGCGGCGGCCCCACCTAGCCAGCCCTATGGATGAAATCGAAAAAAGGTGGGTTGACTTGAAGGGGAATGGACTGCGTCGAGTGGAAACGATTGGATCGCTTTTTTCTGAACGCGATGCACGACTGCTGCATCGCGCTGCGGTCGATGGCAGGGCGTGATTCAACCAGACCAGGGACCGCGAGCTGATACGTGGAGAGCTTTTACATTGTGTGCCATTATGGGCTGCCTACAACGTGTGGTGTTACGAAGTCGGTTGAATTGGACAGGGGGGACTCGAGATAAAATCCGCACAGGTTCCAGATTGTGACATGAGGGGATGAGTCGAATCAAAAGTTGGCTCAGGATTCCACTCATTCATGGGGGTCGGCATGAACGCAAGACATGACAGAATGGCAAAAGAGAATCAAACATTGAACGAAGACTTGAGAAAGGAAAAGAGTCAATCGAACGGGCGTGGGGTCGCACAGGAGGATTCGGCCGTGGGTCTCATGATCAGGCGCCTAAATTAGGAATCGGATCAAAGATGCGTAGCAACTTGCGAATATTGCTTGATCTGTGAGTTCTGGACCATTCCCTGTTTTCCTGTCTATGGAACTGGCATTGAGTTGGTGTCAGACCAACCAGCAGTCCTCATTCAGTCACCCATGAAAAACACTCGACGTCCTAAACATCGATCACTGCCGTCCTTCCGTTGGTTTGGACCCTTTTTCTTAATCCCGGCTCACAAAGTACCAAACGATACCACTATGTACGGCATCATCCTCAGGGAGTACGCAATACGCCTGCAAAGCAAAGCCAAAAAATAGCACCTGAAACCTCATCTGGTCAGTCAGAGTCGAGAGAATTCGGTTGCCTTGTGTAGATTGCGTCGTGCAGACGGAAATAACGTGCGCTAGGAGCTAATGCTTCGTACACGATGAGGTACTTCGTAAGGGACGGAGTAAGCAGGAAGGACTCGTTTAACCCCGTTTGTTTGTGAGGGATGAAATCCCGGCCAAGGTTGGTCCTAAATTGCCAATGTCCGTGAGGTCATGGTAGCGTGTGGTAGCTCTTGGACTTGGAGGCCTAGCAGATGTTCATGTCTTGATCGAAAGCCAATGGCGCGAAAAATGTCCAATGCAATTATATTTGTTCAGGACGCTAAAGATTTCGCTTCGCTGGATAAGGCGCTGTTGTTTATCCAGCTGTGTGGGCTACGGTGAAATGCACTAACAATTACGTTTTGAAATTGTTAGCTGGATTCTGGCCCCCCTTTATTAGGGTTTGTTAGGACCCAAAGATTCTTCCCAAGCCAGAGCTTAACAAGGGCGACTTAGCCTTGGGGCTGAGAGCCATCCCGGTCCACTAATCTTGTCCCTATGTGTTGGTTCACAGCAGCCAATAGAATCGAGGCTTGGCAGGCTAGTGGAGGCGATGCTCTAGGCAGCAGCGTCTCGTCTTGGACTGGGCCTTCCGGAAGGCGCCGCGTACTTTTGACTTGCCATTTCTAATCACTGCTTGTTTCCCTCTCTCCCAAAGTCCTTGAATCTCTATTCCACTTCATTCTCTCGCCCCCTTCAACATTTTGTTCCTGTTAGGCCTCTCTTTTTTTTTTTTTTTTTTTTCCGCCAACCCGTGCTCTCTGTCCGAAAGAAGTCCTAAGGCCAGCTTTCGGTTTTGTTTTCTATCAGCGATTGCCCATTTTCCCCGCACTGCGTTGTCGTGTTCGAGGGCCGGATTGGCCTGATCTCGTGCGGTCGTGTGTTGTCGTAATTCGCCATATCCTCCCCCCGTACCACCCAGACACTCCAATTCATCCTTGGACTTCGTCCGGCTTCCAGCCTTATTTTACTCTCGGATACCCCCCTCAATTATTCGGATTCCTCGGTCCTTCCTCTGTCATATACATCCATCCCTATACCTGTTCATATATCTGTCAAGAGTCCTACAATTTCTGGCCTCATTGTTCGCTTCAGGGCTTACGCCTTTTTGCGCGCCCTTTCGTTTTTCGGTCTTCGATCAACAGCAACCCACATCATCACGGGGACATCTTCTCTCTTTTGAAAGAGTATGTAAACGTGTTTCACTGTTTCTAAACCGTGTGGTTCGGCCCTCCTGTCCCCTCCCCACGTCGAGCCTCTCGAGGCTCAAGTCACCTCGCCGTCCATCGGAAGAGGGGGTGCTTGGACGTCGGTGCCCGGAGTGACTCAACCTTCTACTTGGCCATTCCTCTTTCTCTCTTCTCTTCGCCAGGAGAACTTGGGGACCATCCCACATCTCCACACCAGTTTTACTGACGTTCATCGTTGTCCAAACAGAACGAGAGAGATCATATCACACCCGAAGTGGACAAGTGGCTCGGCTCGGCTCTAACCCTGCCTCTGTCCTACACAAAGTCTACATATATACTTGCCCGTCATGGCTCCCAACCCTCGCAGGACTACCAGGACGGCGGTGACTCGCTCTTGCAATGATAACAAGGGCCTGTCGCTAAATACCACCGTCACCCTCCGGAAGAGCCCGACCTTCCACTCTCCCACCAGTCCTTCTTCAGCTTCTAGTACATTCGTGCCTCCATCAATCCGGCGGTCACAAACAAACCTCGACGATGTGGTTGATGCTCATCGCCGTCGTGCCGCTCTGATTGTCGACGACGTCGACAAGTCCCTCTCTAAGAACGAACCCGAGTCTCCATCGTCCTCATCCAGACGGACGATGCGTGACCGTAGCCTTCCCCTCCCGCCAGGTCTCCTCGACCTCCCCGTTGTCGACCCAGCCATGGCCGACTCCGAGAGGCGTGTCCTGCGCTCGCGCAACAGGCGGGCTTCCGGCAACCATCCCTCAGATAGCGGTTTGGGAACTTCCATTACAGAAACGTCGGCGAAGCGCGCCGCGACCCAAGGCTCGAAAAAGATCGGTGTCTCAGCCATAACTAGGTCTGCTGCCACCACCATGTCCGAGAACCTTCCAGGTCTTAGCCAGAGGGCCAGGGCCCGCATTCAGGAGCATACTCTGAGACCTCTGCTTGCCAAACCTTCTTTGAAAGACTTCCGTCCAATTGTACTGGACATTCCACGACGCATCAGCGACAGGGAGATCATCTGCCTGCGAGATCTAGAAAAGACTCTTATTTTCATGGCTCCGGTAAGTCAGCTAATGAACGATCCTGGTGTTTGGGGTGATACTTATCGGTTTTTGCGTTTGAAGGAGAGGACAAAAACCCCTGAGCTCTACCTCGATTTCTGCCTCACCTCAGTACGCTGCATTCAAACGACGGCCGAATTCCTCAGCGAGCGAGAGAAGACCCGCCCAACCGATCGCCTTTACACTAACGCCTATTTCATGGATCTGGAGGACCAGCTCCGCCAGTACGCCAGCCAACTAGCAGCCACCAAGCAACAACCCGCTACCGCCACTTCTGGAGAAAAGCACGACGATATGGAACTGGATATGTATGCATTTTATCAAGCACAAACGGTTACCCCTTGCACAGTGACTAACATTTCCCCCAACAGCTCTGATGAGATTAGGCTCCTCGGCGGCCTGGCCAAAAACGGCCGCCCCGCTGAGCTCGTCCGTGTGAAAAAGGACGGCAGGGCCTTTTCCATGGCTACCGGTGAGCTCGTCAACCTCGACGACGAGGACGCCAAGGGAGGCGCTTTTAGGATCAAGCGATCCTCGAGCCACGTCGAGGAAGAGGAGGAGGACATCCTCCGCTCCATGGCCCGCAGGAAGAAGAATCCCACCCCCGAGGAACTCGCTCCCAAGAAGTGTCGTGAGCCTGGATGCAATAAAGAATTCAAGCGCCCTTGCGACCTCACCAAGCACGAGAAGACGCATTCTCGCCCTTGGAAGTGCCCCGTGAAGTCATGCAAGTACCACGAGTACGGCTGGCCCACGGAAAAGGAGATGGACCGTCACCACAATGACAAGCATTCCGATAGTCCAGCCATGTTCGAGTGCCATTATAAGCCTTGCCCGTACAAGTCGAAGCGTGAATCGAACTGCAAGCAACACATGGAGAAGGCTCACGGATGGACTTACGTGCGAACGAAGACCAACCGCAAGAAGGCTGCCAACGCTGCCGAGTCGAGCAGCACAGTCCACCCCACTCCTCAGCTCACCAATATGTCTACTCCCGAGAGCCATTTGGGCGGTCTCGCTACACCCGGCTCCGAGCACAGCGAGCAGTTTATGGATCTCCCCGACAACAGCCTCACCTTCCCCAAGTTCATTCCGAATGATGACCTTTTCAACATTAACCAACCTCCCATCCACATCCCCGAGCTTGATAACATGCACATGGAGGTGGATCTTTCCCCCGTCGAGCCTTTTAACGTTGATACCCCGTCCACCGGACCTTTCGAGCACTACTCGAGGTTTCAGGACGGAACTGGCTTCACGCTCGATGATGACCTCTACACGGCGACGGCACAGATGCCAACTCCCGACCCTGCCCTCTACGCCAAAGTAATGCCACAGCAGCCCTTCCTGGCCTATCCTGATGCCATGGGCAACGCTCAACCCGAGTATCTGCCTACGCCACACATCTCGCCAATTGGACAGCCCAGCGCCATGCTCTATACTCCTAAGTCTCTCCAGGAGGTTGTGGACGAGGGCTTCGAGGACTTTACCCAGTGCGATGGGGGTTTTGACCACGACTTTGCGCTCTTCCCTGGCGCTACAAAGATGGATAGCTTCGAGCCGCTCTTTAACAATGAGATGCCGAGTGCGGGTATGGGCTACTCTCAACAATCGCAGGACATGTTGACCGGCATGGACTGGACCGCTCATGACTTTGGCGCGTACAATGAGTAAATTGTCGAGAAGGGGGGGGAAGAGATGTGGAACATAAAGCATCCCATTGTTCCTTTTTCTTTCTTTGACTACTTTTATTTCCTCTATGCCTCTGCATTTTTGTTTACGATTATGACACGATTATGATGCGTTTTTTTTTTTTTATTTTCTTCTTCTACCCTCCTTCCTCTTCCGAGGGCGGGTATGGCGACAGGATAACTCCAAACAGTGGGATAGTGCCAGGGAAACGATTCTTGTCATCTCCTTTTCACCTTTTAATTTCGGACTTGCATTTCTGTCCCCTCTCCGTCATGTTTCATGTATCAACTCCAGAACAAACAAACAAACAAACCCAAAAAAAAGAGCCAACCCGAAGCAAGAAGATGGAACAAAAGAATCAAGAGCGTTACCGCCTATCTGCTTTACATCTTGTTTTTCTCTAGTTGATCAGACTTCTCGTGGTGTTTTATTTATCTCTTTATGTTGTGTGTCTCTACTCTCGGTTGTTCTTGCGAGTGGTCTTCCTTGTTTTTGTTTTCTTGTGGATAGGAGGGTCAGATTGGACATTGACAACGGGAAGAAAAAGAAAAGGGGGATTGAAGACAAGAACATGCGTGGGGGAGAAGGGTCTGGCAAACGGGACTGGAGAAACTTGATTCTTCTCCTCGCCTTGGGAAGACCCTGGGTTTAATGGCGACTCTATTATCGATGGAATCGATTGGATTTGATTTTTTTTTTCTAGACAGTTTTCTCATTTTTTTGAATAAGACTTGAGAATTTGGAGAGAAAAGCAGTCACATAAATCGCGCCTCGTGATGTATAGAAAAGTAGCGTTGTCTCTGGTGCTCGTTCGTAAGTCTCGAAGACACTCAGTGTTCGGACTGGAGAGAAGACGGGTGCATTATCTTCTTCTCCTCATGTAGATAGTAGTCATCGTAGCTGGTCGCTTAACTCATGGCAAAATGAATCGCCGAGCATCCGTAGAGCAGACGAGATTAAGAAGCCTACACCGTTACGTCCGTTTACACACCTGCGCTGATCTCGAGCTTGTGAGATGATCTTCCTCTGTCTGGGTAAGAAAATTGTAAAGGCAGCTGGCTTCGAGTATGCCAGCTGGCAAATTTTGCAGTGATAAACCAACCTAAAATTTCTGCAAAATTCCCACCACAACTTCCAACCTCACCTTTCTCTCTCCTCTTCAATCCCAACTCTTCCGCCCCAACTCCTTCTCGCCTCCACCATCCACACCGTCCGATATGCCATGAATCCTACAGGGTACGTTACGAATTGCCTCACCTCCCCACTTTATATGCCCCGAGGGAACATATCCGTATACAGCGAAAAAACGATGATGAGACCCCAAACCACCAAAAGTATAGGAAGAGCCGTCTGAGACTCCTCCCCAAGAGGTCCAATCCGTCTTGACTTTGTGTGCCATTACTTTTTACTCCTTTCTTCGCCGCGCTTGATTCGTTCCTGGGCTTTCCGTCGTATCGTCATATGCTGATGGGGTTCGGGGGAACGGTTGGGCGTGGTGGGAAAGGGGGGTGTGGTGGGGGGTGTTGTGCTTTGAATTTGGTTTCTGAAAGTTTTTTTTTCTATTTCTCGATTTCTTTCTAGGTTTATGAGATTTGGTTTATGTGAGGTTTAGAGCTGTACTGACCTCTTCTGCGAATAGGTTGATGCGCATAGAGAGTGGTGATGGATTGGATTGGATGGGGGTGGGGACGGGTTTGGTAGATTAGTTGGAGTTAATGGATTGAGATTTTGAAGGTGACACTTCATGTTGTGTTCTTCCGTGTGACATGACCAAAAGCGTAGAGTGCAATCTTGTCCTTCACAAAATGCTGCTTTCTGATACGGGATTGCGATCACTTGTTCCCGAGAGCTTTCCACCCGCCGTACGTCCGGCTGTAGTCCTCTGCCTCGTGAACGGAGATACACTCGCCGCTGCAAACTCTGGAATTACATTCCTCCCATTGTCCTTGGGGACAATGTTTCATTTCATATTCACTTGCAATTCGATCACTACTTCGAGCCAAATATTGATTTCAGATAATGCCATTTAGTGTCCAATCTATCTAAAGGGGAGGGGGCACAACTTCTCAGCAAGAAACACACGCGTAAAGCCCACGTTTTCACTCTTCAAGACGGAGGGAAGGTCTGTTATTTGATTTTCACCCTTTCATCAATACGGTTTACTCGAAAACTTGAAAAAAGAACCACCTGGAACTCCCTGTCCTAATGCATTGTTCGACGTCTGTTGTACTCTAACATGCCTCGTCATAAAACAAACGTTTTGAAAAACAAACCCCTCCCCATTCCTCCAAAAAGACGCCAGTCGCTTGTATGAGTAAAAGGAGAACGAAAAAAGACAAATGGAGTCTATCGGCAAAAAAGAGACCAAGACCACTCTGTGACGTAGTTTGGGGAAACAACTAGACCTCCCTGTTTCTCTGTCCTCCTGAAAATGCCTATTTGTATCCATCCTGTTTGGCATATTTCATTGCGATTTTTTTTTGTTTGGTTTTTTTTTTTTTGTGTTCTTGAAGGGGATCTGGTTCAGATAACCAGCCTTCTGTGTTGAAGTGCCATCACATCTTGAGTGACTGCTGCATGGTGTTCTGGTTGCCTTTCCGGACTCCATTCACATCCACCATGTTTCTTTGCACTTGATGGAGAGCTTCCTAGCTACTCCGGGTTGCAAATGCATCAGGTGGGAGGTTGGTCTGCGCAAAATGTTAGCTGTGAATCTAATAAAGAAAAAGATGCCTTGTGCATCCAAGGGGTTGAAACAAGGGAATGATGTATCCTTACCTTTCTTTCATTGAAGATGGCCACGGCCTTCTGGAAGTCCCAGTTGACAGAAGGATCAGAAAGGCAGAGCTCCGCATACTGGGGAGTCATGCCACTTTGTTTACAGAGCTCCGCAACCATGGCGGCTCGCTGTTGTTGCTGCTCGGCAGTGACGGCAGCCTCGGCAGTCGCGGGGGAGGGGGCGGGGGCCGCGAAAATGTTTGGCAAGGGGTTGTATGCCCTGAGAGAGAACATGTCGCTTACGACGCGGATGGGGTTCTTTCCGGGAATGCCGGGTCCGAGGATGAAAGTGCGCGAAAAGCTTCGCTTACCGGTCGATCCAGATTTCTGATCAAATTCGTCAAACTCGCCGTGAATGGTAATGATCAGGCCATCGACGCCGCGCTTGACCTGGCCAGTCGGGTCGGCAAGGCCGGGAAGCGGGTGACAGTCCATAATGTACTTGCTCACTTCCTGCTTCAGATCGGGGTGCTTGGTAGCGGGAAGGGTCTTCCAAAGCTCTGAGATGACAGCGGCCCCTTTGAAAAGTCGTTGGATACGAGCGGGTGGGTGTGTGATCTTGGTGAGATTTCGTGAGAACTTGAGGTAGGCTGCCCACGGCAAGGGTGGAGGCTGGTTGGGATCGCGGGCAGACTCAGTGTCGACAGCGAGCGAGAAATTGCTCTGGTCATCGTAGTACTTGGTGACAAGCTCGGGACGGTGGTTGTCGTAGTTGGTGTAGAAGTCCAGTAGGAAACTCTCACCAATGTTGTTTGCGTCGCGGAAATCGGGTCCGCCTTGAGGGAAGGGCTTCGGCAACAGGGCTGCTTGTGCCGCGGCGGCTTGCTCAGGCGTGCGGACTTGGATACCGTTAAGGTCCTGGAGGCTGGGGAACCACTCAAGCATGGTGGTTTTGTAGTCCGGCTGGTTGGTCTCGATCGGGTTGTTGGCGACGTAGAGCGCTCGAAGGCGTTTGAACCTTCCCTTCAAGGCAAGTAGACCGTCGATGTTGGGGATTTTATTCCCACTGAGGTCTAGGTTTAGGAGATCAGGGAATGTATCGCCGAGAACGGCGACTTGGTTTACGTTGTCAATGCTGTTGTTGGCAACGCTGATGCTCTCGATGGCCTCGCTCTTTTCCTTTCGGGTTTTGAACAAGTCATCGCAGACTCTCATGAGAGCCTTGAACATCTTCTCAGCTCGCTCAGAGCTGGCGAGCAGACCGGCCTGCACGATGGCGGGGTCTGAGCTCAAAGAGTCAAGCTTGAGAAGCTTGGCAGCACCGGCATAGCGGTTGCTGAGTATGGACTGCAGGTGATCACGAAGCAATTTCGCGTCCGCAGACGTCTCTGCCTCCTTTGGACCTTGCTGCTCATCGATTGTCACCGATAAGGCGGCTCCTGCGAAAGTGAAAGTGTTGACCTTGAGGAGTTCCTCCGAGTCTTCCTTGGTAGCGGCAACTAGAATGAATTCACCTTGTTCGCGATGCTGAAGTTTTTTTCGTTTCACGTTAGTAAGGCAAAGAGGGGTTTGGGGGGGAAACAGGGGATAAATAATTCTAATCGGGCTGCGAAAGAGGCTCAAGCAGCCGGTATGGTAGTTCTTGTCGACTCGCGTTGGAGGAGTTTCGTGGCCACACAGGGCGAGTTTGGACCATCGGCATCGCTTTCGAACCTCCCCCGATTCTCCTCGTCCGGGAGGAGGTAACTCACCTGTTTAATAGCTACCGGTCGGTTGGATGTTCGGTTCGCTAGGGATGTGGCCTTCCTTTCGAGGAAGTGTAGTAGGTCCTTGACTCCTCCGCCAGGGTTCGTCGCAGCCTTGCTTTCCTTCAAGCCCTTCACCCGCAACCACACGAGTGTGGGAGGAGTCCTCTGAGATCGGGTGGTAACGTTGGCGATGCGAGATGCTAGTGGACCACCGCCGTTGAGATGGCGAGCGATGATCTGGGCCTGCTTGCTGGGCATCCTGGGAGGTGCTGCAGCTGAACCGCGGCCGCCGCGGCCGGCTCGGGTAGGTCGAGAAGTCTTTGCGTCTCCAACCGCTGGTCTCTTCGCGCGTCGGCCTTCGCCATCCATATCGAGATCCCCATCCATATCGGTGCGGGGGCCTGCAGCTCGTCGCTTCTGGATTCCACCACGATCGGTCGTGCGAGCGCCGGCGACGTTTCGGGAGGGGCGGGCGGCAGAGCCACCACGAGGACCTCGCGGAGGACCCATTGCGAAAGTTTTGAAGGGTAGAGGAATCGAGTAAAACGAGGCCTGGTGGTAGTCTCACCCAAGTTGCATGGGACGGAGGGAGAGGACTGGCGAAAGGAAAAGAAGAAAGGTTTTTTTTTTTGGTATTTTTTTTATTTTCCCAAGGCAAGCAGGTGGGGATGTAGGAGCGCGAGGCAGGGAATGGAGGAAACGGCGTGGGCTTGGGTTGGCCTCTTTTGCTTCAGTCCGAGAGATTCCCAGCTTTATAGTGGACTGTTTGTTGTCAAAGAGATGGAACAAGGCCAAGTTCGAAACGATTCAATGACGCGAAGATGAACTTGTCGCGGGACACCCAATGGCACAAAGACAAGGAAGGAAGGACCAAGTAGGTAATCATGCATGGGGCTGGCTTCTGCCTAAGTCAGGAAATAATATGTACCAATTGGTTGCTGCCAAGTTTGTAATCAAGCTCACATGACCAATCAGGCTGCCAGCATCTGTTGTCGTACCGCCATCACGTCATCCGATTATCACGTGATAAAGCGACCTTTTCGTGTACCCGGCACCTTCGATCTGCTCAACGCGTGCAGCTGCGACAACCAAAGTTCAACAGACGCGACGGAACGTGTGCCCCTCGGTCGTGCCATCCATCATAAATATGGTTCAGATAATACAGGGTTGAGACCTTACTCTTAGTTCCTCGCTTTGGAACTTGACCAGGGTCGCCATGGTAGACGATTTCTTCGACGATGACCTGGACGACGACGACCTGTTGCTTGCTGCGGACGAAGTTCTGATACAACGGAGCTCGGAACCGTCCTCGTCCACAGCAGATGCGCAACTTTCCCCTTCAGGGGTACCACAACCGACACGCCAAACCGCTGACCCGCCCCAGAATCGGCCGGCAAGGACATTACAGCGGCAGATTTCCATCCCGAGACAGCAGGGCGGGGCTCAGTCGCGACAGGGTCAGATCCTTCGCCAGGCGACCCTTTTTGGCGACACTGTTCAGGATGACGAAGCGAGCGAGTTGCAATCGGCGTCTCCTGGGGCGTATCGCAGCGACGGCAATCGGGAGGCACCGACCCACCATGAGCTTGACGACGAGGCTCTCAGGACATGGGTCTATCCGATGAACCTTGGCGCCATTCGAGATTATCAGTACAGCATAGTGAAGAACAGCCTTTTCAACAACACCCTCGTCGCATTACCTACCGGTCTGGGAAAGACGTTTATTGCTGCGACTGTAATGCTCAACTTTTACCGTTGGACGAAAAAGGCGCAGATTGTCTTTGTCGCTCCAACGAAGCCGCTGGTTTCACAGCAGGTCGACGCCTGTTTCAATCTCGTTGGCATTCCGCGATCGGATACGACGCTGCTCACCGGCGAGATATCTCCGGGGCTGAGAGTAGAGGAATGGCAGTCGAAGCGGGTTTTTTTCATGACGCCGCAAACGCTGCAGAACGACCTGTCGAACGGATACGCCGACCCCAAGAATATCGTACTTCTTGTGGTTGATGAGGCGCATCGAGCCGTGGGCGAATACGCCTATGCTAAAGTGATTAAATTCATTAGGCGATTCTCGAAGAGCATCAGAGTCCTGGCCCTGACAGCCACCCCAGGCTCCAAGGTCGAGACGGTCCAAGAAGTTATCGACAACCTCGGCATTTCCCACGTCGAGATTCGCACAGAGGAGTCCCTCGACATCCGTCAATACGTCCACCGCAGAGAAATTGAAGAAGAAGTTCTCGATCCGTCCGATGAGATCAATCGGGTGCGGGAACTTTTCAGCCTCACCCTCAAACCCCTCGTCGACAAGCTATCCCAGCAGAACATCTACTGGGGCCGCGATCCCATGGCCCTCACGACTTTTGGCCTGCTAAAGACCCAGAAGGAATGGTTCTCTGGTCCAGGTCGACATGCAAACCAAGGCCTCCAAAGCATGATGCGAGCAGTCTTTGCCGTCCTCACTAGCATTGCGCACTCTATCAAGCTCCTCAACTTTCACGGAATAAAACCCTTTTACGAAAACATGTTCACATTTAGAAGCGAAGTAGAAGCTAAGGGTAAGAACGGCTCCAAGTACCGAACGGCAATCGTTAAGGATAAACACTTCGTGGAAATGATGGACACGATCGATCGGTGGCTCAAGACGCCAGATTTTGTCGGCCACCCCAAACTTAGCGTGCTCGCGGACAGGATTCTCAACCACTTCATGGACCACTCTACGCAGGCTTCAACCAAAGTGATTGTGTTTAGTGAGTACCGAGATAGCGCCGATGAGATTGTGCGGATTTTGAACCTGCACCGGCCCATGATACGGGCCAACGTTTTCGTCGGACAGGCCGATTCCAAGAGATCGGAGGGTATGAAGCAGGCGCAGCAGATTCAGACCATTGAGGATTTCCGGGCGGGCAAGTTCAACGTCCTAGTAGCCACTTCTATTGGAGAAGAAGGCCTCGACATTGGCCAGGTCGACCTCATCATCTGCTACGACGCATCGGCATCGCCGATCCGAATGCTCCAGCGCATGGGCCGCACCGGTCGTAAGCGAGCCGGAAGAATCATCCTCCTGCTCATGCGCGGCAAAGAAGAGGATAACTATGCAAAGTCTAAGGATTCGTATGCGGCTATGCAGAAGCTCATTTGCGAGGGGAGCCGCTTCAATTTCCGCTTCGACCTCTCTACGAGGATCGTACCCCGAGGTACGATGCCAGCCGTCGACAAACGCATAATTGAGATTCCTTTGGAGAATACGCAAATACAAGGCCTGCCCGAGCCAAAGAAGTCACGAGTCCCGAAAAAGAAGAAGCCACCGAAGAAATTCCATATGCCAGATGGCGTCATTACCGGTTTCATGAAAGCGTCCGAGATAGGAAAACAGCCTGCCAGTTCTCGGCCGAAGAAGCAGAAGACGCCGGAACCGGTCGAGACGGATTTCATCGAAGATATACCAGCCTTGGCGAAGATAACGCTTACGAAGGAGCAGCAGAGGGGGTTTCGAAACACGTACCAGCTCGTGCATGGCGAACACGATCAGGACGTTTTTGTGGAGATGAGCAAGTACCCCGAGTCGCAGCGGACGCTGAGACCGACGATGCATCTTAGGCATGGGCGCTATACGAAAAGGGTGGTGAGGCTATTGAATCGGGTCGTGAAGGAGACGGAGGAGGAGTATCCGCCGCTGGACCCCCCGCGGTACCAACATACACCCATGAAGGAGCTAGTTGACTCCTCGGACGAGCGAGACGCCTCTGCAGAGCTACTAGACTTCTCCCAGGATGAAGGACTGGATGTGGAAGAAACGAATACAAGAAGGAAACGGCGTCGGCTGTCGGATGATCCTTTGCCGTCTGACGAAGAGGAACCTTCAACTCCCGATGAACCCGGCCGACTAAAGAGGAAGAAGCCGAAGAAGAAGAATGCCGGGAAGCACACCTACGCGCGGAATCTCGAAAACGAGGGCGACACGTGTGACTCTGAAGAGGAAATTGGGGGATCTTACGGTGACGATGGGGCGGATTTGTTGGACTTTATTGTGTCGGATTCTGAGATTGAGCTCGAGACTCCTCCTGCTGCGCGAAGGAAGAGCAACAAGTCGACGAAAAGTCGCGACACACACTCCCGCGAAAAGGATGATGACTTGGACGGAGCCGGTTTAGTCGGGAGCGATGACGATGAAGATGACAACATGCCCTCGCTTAGCCAGCTCGTCAACGCTAGATCTACGAAACTACCAGGGACACATAACGGGCCGAGAAGGAATGGAAGAACAACAAAAACTAGGGGGCGTGGCGAGGGAGAAGAAGCGTTGAAAGACAAAATATGGGCTGTAGATTCGGATGATGACGATGATCTTGTAGGTGTTGTGCCTGATGCTCCAGAGAGTGATGAGGGGATCGTGAGTCTGACGCAGAGGGGGAGAGGGAGGAAGGTGGTTGAGGATAGTGAGAGCGAGTGATTTATGATGGCTTACCTTTTCCCAGCCTTTCCCGTCGGCTTAGGCGGTTTTTTCTGGTGTGCAATATAGAGATTTTGTTTCTCTTCTACCAGATGCACGCTGATGTGCATGAGATAGCGCTGTTTGTGATATCAATGGCAAGATATGGCAGCCCTTCGTAAAGGCTAAGCCTCAACACTTGCGACCATTTCAGACGTAACCTTTTTTTTCTTTCCCTTGAAAAAAAAAAAAAAAAAAAAAAGAAGAAGAAATAAACAACACTGAAGAACAGAGATTGCTCGGTAGATGTGCTGGAGAGTCGATTCAAATAAGTAATGAGGGGATCAATCGAATGAATCCAAGGAATGGGACACACTCGTCAAGATGACAAAGTGGCGAGGAGGGAAAACAGAAGTACGCCAATATTATGAATCAGTCAACATTCCCAGCACGATTTATGATTTAGGCCTATCACTGATATATTTAGAATCTCCCGTAACGTCGAAGTGGCTGTCTTTGTGTTTACGTCCAATGTCCGCGACCCATGGGTGAATCATGATCTCCAGGATGAGAGCGTTGATACTAAGGACAAGCCGAGGGATAAAATACCTAGAAAATAGCTCCGTTGGGTCCTAGAATATAGTACAAGAATACATATCCGCAAACGCCCACCTAACCTATTCTAATTTAGACTCAGCTGAGGTTCTATGCAGCTCCATTAGATAGTCGCTTTCGACAATCTGGATAGCAGTAGGGCGGTCTTCCGGCAACCACTGCAGAATACCCCTTGCAAACTCAATGAACCTGTCATGTTCTACACCCTCAAGATACCTCTCCCGCATCTCAAGGGTGACATCGGGAATCGGAGTGCTAGCGATCCAGTTACCTACGTATAGCCTGGGTTAGTTTGGTTCGGAGAATTTTGAGATGACAGATGACGAGGGGCGGGAATAGAAGCGGTGGATAGATGACATTGAAGGTTCAGGGCTCAGCATACCTTCCGAGTCCCAGTATTTTTTACATGCTTCACTTCTTTCAAGGAAGCTTTTCGGAGGGGGACCTAGGAGAGCTACCATCTCGGCTAGATGCTGTTCGTCATCCACTACACCGTTCTTGAGGCCGAAGAACAATCGGCAGCCTTGGAAGAGGTCCCACATCTACACCCAGAGTTAGGATACCGTTACAACACGAGAAATTCGCTCACAAATGAAACTGGCACTCACCATAACACCTGCAGCCCAAATGTCAATCTTGGAACCCCATTCCATGCCTAGGATCACTTCCGGAGCTCTGTAGAAGTCGGGCATAACATCGCCCCTATGGACGGCGCCGATCCGTGCACTTCCAAAATCTGAGAGCACTGGAGGACCATTGGTAATTGGTAGGGTTCTTGAGCCGTATATGACGCGACTTTCGAGTACTTTCCGCGGGGCGGGGTGGTTCGTCTCGGCTTCTTCAAGCTCAGAGAAGAGGCTTGGGTCCGTAACACCCGTCAAGATGTTGTTGGGAGAGATGTCTAGAGGGTGAATCATTAACTATGGAAATTCCAACACTGGAAAGGGAGAACGAGGCTCAGTAATGAATACACACCAGTGTGCACTACGCCAGCTTCGTGCACGTAGTCAACGCCAAGGAGAATTAGTTGAAAAGACCGCTTGAAGAGGTCCAGAGGCAGACGACTGTCAGGCATCCGGCTGCGGAATTTAGTGAAACTTATTCCCAGGGGATCGTATACCAGACACTGGTGCTTGCCATGCGGACCCTCAACAACGAAACTATCCTTGAGGAGACGGACAAAATTCTTCCCGATGTGTTGATCGTCTCCAGCCTGGAGGACGCGGCACACGGCAATCTCATTCTTCGCTTGGTTGTTGAAGTCATCTTCCTGCTCCCTAGTGCAGACTTTGATAGCAACATAAGCGCCCGACCTAAGAAATCAGTCTTTAATACGTATCTCTGCAAAACTGTTACCATTGAGATTCGCATACCTCAAGTCTCTAGAGAGCCATATTGTTGACCCAATCCCGAATCCTAACTTGCAAACTATCCTATATCTGGAAGAAAAAACTTCCCCTAGGGAAACAGGGTAAAAATTATTTTCCACATAGCCCGGAACGTCTTCCTCTTCAAACTTCTGGTCATTTGACACGGCCTCGAAGCTCGGCTCCATGCTGAGGCAGGATGAATTCCCAAAGAATCGGCGGAGTTTTGGCTGGTATGTTGCAGGTATTATACGGCGAGGAAGAAAGGACCGGGATATAAAATATTGTCGAACCGGCGCCCGTAACCAGACCTTCATGATGGCGGGAAGGTTGAGCAGCGGAATTGGCTCAGCACTCAAGTGCTACCTTCGTCTTCTGCTCTATTTGATCCTCGTCCAAACGGGAATGGAGGGAAGTGGACTGGATGGATTGCCTTTCATGTTCCGGGATTAGTCATCTGTGCTCTTGGATGAGACCTATCCCAATGCTGTCCAATCAGAGTCTTCAACCCGGTTCAAGGGTATTTGATCCTCCTGAGTCCTAAAAATAAACGATTGGTTGGTGGTCGCTGAGCGATCGCCCTCGTCGCAGCATGAGTGTCAGTGTCGGCCAATCAGTACATGCACTTTCGGTGTTGGTCGTTGGACGAGGGAGGTCGGATGTGGGCAGATCGTGGATTAAACCGCTAAGTTCGAGCATCACGAAGCGCCCAGTGTCCACCAAACGAGGCGGAGCAGAAGTGGCCCTCCTACACCACTTGTTGGCTCTCTAAGTAGTTGTATGAGAGCCAACTTCCATCCCGCAGCTCCACGCCTTGTAGGATAGAGTGGACGCGATCAAACCGGGTGATGAAGCTGCTCGAGGCGCTTAGAGCTCAGATCCGCCGCCGAGGGCCAGCGAATGACACGTTTACACGGACAAGCAATTGAGACCATTGTCTGCTGCGGGACTTTGCGAGCGAGAATTATAAAAAGAGCTCTTGGTTCTTCTCCAGAGCTCTCCAGTCAACTGATCATCACCATCACACTCACTCCCTGTTCTAAATCCCAGCCTTTTACCTTCAAAATCGTCGCACTATGTTTCGAGGAACTGCTGCCCTCTGCGTCCGGTACGGAGCTCTACTCCGCTCGGTAACCTCACTTCATCTTACCAATCGGCGGTTGAATCTGCCAGCAAGGTAGTGGAAGCAAAGGCAGGTTCACATTATCCCCCCCCTTCCCAATACACCCATCGGACTAACGAGAATTCTAGTACCCTGTCCTCGTTGAAGCACGTATCCAGTAAGACATTTCAGTTCTTCTACCCTCATTTTCCTTGCTAAGATGACTTGAACAGGGGTTCCACTCCACACCACTCGACCAAAGATCCATCGGATCCAGAGAAAATAATCACCGTTAGCTACCACACTGCGAAGGGCACACGAGCTCTCAGTATCCATGTTCACGAAGACGGGACATTTAAAGAATTTCTATCTCGATATGGGAAGGATAGACTCGGCGGCGACTCGAAATGAGGATAATTGAAGGAGCGGAAGGATGCACGAGACTGGGTTTTCTTGTCAGCCCCTTGTTAGCATGTTCATTAACCTTGGGATCGACATCCCTGGAGCCTAGGAGTTGCTGATAATACGGACTGGATTGAACACTTTCCTGTTGTACTTCTATAGATGCCTTTCGTATGTCCTTTTCATATTCGCTTGTTAACAATTCTCGCTTGATATTTATGTTGGTCACTACTACATGGATGTAGTTAAATCTAGATATTTCATTTCTCCTCGCCACTTCTACCTCAGCAAAGACCACCGTAATTGAAACTGGGTGGTTCAGTTTTCAAGCTCTGTGTTTCCGGTAGGTAACTATAGTACTTTTGGTTACAGCTCAATCGACATATTACATCCAATGCTAATGGCATGTCAACGGCGATTAATGCATTACTACGAAGCGCATCGGGGGTAGCATGTCAGCAAACTGCCCATGGTGACTGCGATGCTGCAGGCCGTTGAGGCAAGAGAGAAGACGTAATTTTATCTGAAGCTTTAAGAAATTTTGTTAACACCCTCCTGTTTCCAGAAAGTTATGATTGATCTAATTTTCCTGAATGCTGGTGAGGACACTCCCAGCCAGCATTGCGAGTCGACTTCTGACACCGCATGTATCGTCATCAAAAATCAAACATCAATAAATATTTGACAGAAATTATAGAGCCTGCCAACTCCATAGATCCCTAAAAATAATATGACCGGCACTGTTGATAGTAGAAAGGGGACCATTCTGAGCCTTGGGATTCATCAATGCAACGGCGTGCGATAATCATAGCCAAACCCCTTCTCCTCAGCACAGATCTCTCCAATCCAAATCCTTTCATTAATAAACAAAGTGCGGTTTAACATGTGGGATGGATGCAGGTGTTAATCAAATGCCGGCAAACCACGCGACATGCGGCCCGTCCGGAGGCGTTGAGTGGAACCATCGAAGTGCGAATACGCGTATAGACTTATTAAAAAGCTCGGTCAACCGGGTTGATCAGATTTCAGGATCGGCCCCAACTAGGAATATCAATGGATGATCTCGTGCAATACGCGTATCGACTGGAATCGAACTCAGTTGAATGTAATGCGCCTCCCAACGCGTAGACCTGGAGTAGATGATGCAGGTATTCTCCGTATCATTGATGACGACTAATAATTATCACGAAACCGAGAGAACGCGTTGTCCGTGTGTCGACCGGACCGACTGTGGATCAAGGTTGTGCACTGCCATTGACCTGGATTGTTCAACTTATAAATTCTAGGCCTTCTACGTGAAAATGGAGACAGTCCTTTGGTTCATGGCCTTTCCTGAGGGCACCACTCATACCCAGTTACCCAATCGATCCAGAATCATATTACTCAGTCTCGACTCTTTCTTGTCTACTAAAGCGGAAACATGAAGTCCGCCATTATTTTCACTACCTTTACCGCCGCCCTAGGCTTCCGTATACCCCAGAATACTCTAGGATCTGCTTCCCAATGGGAAGCCCCTGGAGAGAATGACTGTGAGATAACATCAAGGCAACGAGCAAAGGTACGAACATGCAATGCTAAAACAATCCAATATCAGTTCGAGGGCCATGTCCAATGATGAATACTTTGGCGAACCACAAGTTTCTACCCCATGATGGGAAGAATCTTACGAAGGAGGTTGTCGTCGCTGGTTTAGCCGCGGCACTGAACTTCGACCCTGCGTTGGGAAGTTTGATGTTCGATATGGCGGTGATCGCCAATCCACAGCCCAACGCTACGTTTTTCACTCTGTGCGTGTTTTCCCCCATTTTTCCCCATTTCTTCTAGCTACTATTTCAAGGGTAATATAGACAGTAACGACCTTGCTGACGCACTGGACTGTAGTGATCATCTCAATCAACATAACGTGTTGGAACACGACGCCAGTCTTAGGCATGTTTCCCTTCCTCCAAAATAGAATGTGGCAAAACCAGCAGCTAACATAAACCTCAGCCGCTCGGATGCCTTCTTTGGAAACAACCACATCTTCAACCAAACAATCTTCGACCAAGCGCGAGCATACTGGACGGAACCCATCATCGACGCGCAGCAGCTCGCCAACAGCAAACTCGCGCGCCAGATTGAATCCAGGGCCTATAACCCCGAGTATACGTTTACCGCCATGACGGAAGAGTTTAGCCTCGGAGAGGTGGCTGCTCCCATCATTGCTTTTGGCGATATGGACGCTGGTACTGTGAATAGAACTCTCGTTGAGTACTTTTTTGGTAAGTCTGGATATAGCTCCTGAATTTTGCTACTTATCTTAACACCGAGTGACTTTATTATTATAGAGAATGAGCGTTTCCCTACAGAGCTCGGCTGGTCGAGGAGAGATGACGTGGTAACACAAGAAGGGGTGCAGAAGGTTGCGGGGATGATTCGGGAAGCGACAAGCTTGATCACTGCTAGTGACCGAGGGTTGAGAGTTCGAGACTCGCATTTTGGGGCGAGTTTCTGAGCGGCTAGAACCATTCTTTAGCGATTTGATTATAGCTACGGTATACCGAGGTTCGGCTCATAAAATATGCAAGGGCAAAAATACCCGGAATATATGGGCAGCCTTCAACTCACCTCGTTTTCCCAATGTATACCCCCCAACGGGGTTAGTGGGCCTGGTGCTGAAGTTGCTCACTGTCATCAAAGAGCAAATCTACTTTGCGAATGCGTGTGGGTAATGAGAGAAATGGGTATCCCTCCCCCTCCTATAGTGCAGAGAATGGATAGACAACAGCTGGAGTCCGACAGATGCTAGTTCGGCCGTTTTGGCACCGGGGCTTTGGTTTCAGTTTTGAGGAAGATTGTGGTATCGATTTCGATGAGCAGTCTCTTAGAGGTCTCTGGGGTTGACTCACGCAGCTGGCCTCAAGCAATCCAGCGGGTTCCGTCTTGGAATTCAAGGAGACGCGCGCGCGAGAGAGCTGCCACCGACTCAGCAGTCTGGGATCAACTTGCGAGCTTGTCTCTGATGGCTTGGGAGGCTATGATGAGAATAGCTTCCCAGTTGGACCGGGCAAGGCATTCATTCTCTAGAGTTTTCATTGAAACATTTCGAGTGGTCCAGTTCAGTTCGAGTGGTGTGCTAGTCTCATGATCTAAAGTCTCGAAAGTCATGGTAGCATGACTCAGTAGAGTAAGGATTTCGTACGACCGTTGCTATAAAGGATAACAAAATGAGGAAGAGGAGGTTATGTAGAGTTGAATATAAAGAGAGGAGCCCCTAATTTATTTTGGAGTTTGAGCTAAATCATTGCCGGGCGGTAATCTGATTTAGACAAGAGCACAGACAAACACACTGTTACACAGCCCTTGTGTTTTCGCGTTTGGACTCGACGATGCAAATCCCGCCGGCTCCGCTTTTGTTTTGCTCGAGTTCATGCCTGGAAACACTGCCGCGGACGAAGCTTGCAGCGGTGAGAGACCCCGTTGGGGTCTCGTGACACACCAATATCGCCATACTTGCTATCCCGCGCCATGGTGACCGCACATAAAGGACATGCGTTCCACTTTCTGCATTTCACATCGGTATATCTTTGTACCTCTTTGCCGTGCCAGAATTTAATTTCCCAAGCTAATTCACAGGACAGGTCCAGATTGCCTCAGGCCGCCTTCCACGGATCGGCACCGTTACACGCTGCATAGATGGTAGCTTCGTTGTGGGGCCCATCCCACACATCGGAGGGCCGTTTGACACTGCGGTGTCCTTCATCTAGGCATTGGCCGCTAGCAACAAATTTCCATATGACAACCCCTGCCTCCGAAAAGCCCTGCCGCCTTCAGTAGTTGACGAAGTCGTTGAAGGAATCGAACAATTCCCGTCCCGACTCGCCAATCTAGCTCAAAGCGGTCAATACTTCACACGAGGAGGTCCCTTCCCCATCCGCCATGCCAATCTATTCCATAGCCACATTGTCATCACCAAAACCTATGAAGTTGTGGGTGCGATCGATTGGGAAGGTTCATATGCGGTACCCTGGGAGCTGGTTGACGCCCCTTGTTTCTTGAGTACGGTGGGGTTTTACGGGCGGGCTTTGGATTACTTCGAAAGCAAGTAGGGTTGGTCGCTTGGAGTTGTCCTTGTTATCGCGAAATTTCCCAGTTATTCTCATGGCGTGTCGGGGTTTTCCCTGCCTTGTTCAGGTCACTCTTGCAACTCATATCCTCGGTGTTCCCGTTTTATATTATCCATGCCCTCTAACACGAATGCTTCTGTCATCACCACTAACCCTTGTTCTAGTTTTGAGCCTAGAAAAGCACGGATATGCCATTTACGTCGTAGTCTAGTCTCCCAGAGGCTGGATTCAACCACTGTTTAGATCCTGCATCAATTTCACCCCGCTGTTGATGAAGGTCATTGGATGCGAGCGTCAACCCCTTGGACTCTCTTCATGGTCACATTAGGCACCAATCAGTGATGACCGGAAGCGGAAGTGCTAGCAGAACCCAGCTTTCTCGCACCCGGGAGAAAACGGGCGCTGCTCAGAGGGTGGTCCAAAATCTGATCCAAAATTGGTGTGGGCCAAAATCTGGGCCAAAGCCTGGTCCAAAACCCGGTCCAAAATCTAGGACCAAAATCTGGTCCAGTGGCGCATGCGGGTTGCCAAGACGAGACGCATCACTCCAGGTTGCATTGCATGCACCCAGTCCACAGAGCCAGAGCCTCGCCTTGACAAACTGTTGATGAATTATAAAGGAAGACACAAACCGTCGGGATTTCCTCGACCCCATTTCCTATCTAAGTCCTCTCCAGATCGTTGGCCATATCATCCAAGACATCCTATCTTTTTTCATCCTCAGACGCCTCTTCAGGTTTGACTCCTTGCGTCAAAGCCTGCAACCATGGAAGCTCAAACCACCGGGCATCTGTCTGGAGACCCATGGGTTGAGAAGAAGGACATTCTTCACCGCCTGTATGTGCAGGAAAAGAAAAAGCTCACAGAAGTCAAGACAATAATGGAAAAAGAATACGGATTTCCTAGTGCACCGTACGTTTTATCTTCGGTTGGTACTCCAACTACTGCTGTTCTGACGATTATGCAGAATTTCCACATACGAAACAAAGCTGAATAGGCTCCTGGGCCTGCGGAAAAACCTGAAGCGTTCCGACTGGTTGATCGTTGAGAAGCGGCTGAAAGCGCGAGGTCAGAAACCTACCGAAGTCCTCCTTTGCGGCAAGATTATGGAGCCGCAAAAGCTACGGAGAAAGATAACGAGGGCTCGAGCCAAAGCGGCTCTACTTGATGGGAGCTATATCAGTAAGTATACTAATATCACATCTAGCTGTGCTTCCTCCATAATCAGGTGCTAAGTCCTACTATTGTAGATGAAGAATCACCCCTTCCTAATGGTGTGGAGATTCGAACTCCATACTCAAGTCCCAGGATGCCCACCGCAATGGAAGAAGAAAATTCCGTTTATTTTCGGGAGCCATTGGCGGGAAACCATGGGTTCTGGGGAATAACTACTCCCCCTTTTCAACTGCCTTTCCCCATCTCATATTCGCCATGGGATCCTGATCCAGGGTTTTTAGCCGTCCCATCCCCGAACCTTCCTTTGATGGATCCTACTTTTTCAACCATGACTGCAACCATTCCCGAAATCCAGGGAGACTTTTCTCAGTTTCCATCCCTTGCCATGCAACCGGACATGTCAAGTAACTTGGGGGAATTGTCAAGTCTTACAGCTTCGCAGAAGCCGTTCTTGGATCTGAGCTCTGAAATCGCCAGATTCTATGACACGGATACCGCCTCGGGTCTTGGGTGGCAGGCGCAGAGAGGTTTTACTAGGAGAAGCGTTGGGATATCCGTCATTGCAGTCGCGGCACTCATGAAGGATAGTCCTTTCTCCTGCTTCAGACAAGATCTCCGCCAGCTGAGTATGTTTCCTCATCCATATGCCACTTCAAAGCACCTTCTGGCTAATGGAAGTAGTGCAAGCCTTAATTGTCCCTCAACGACACCATTTACGTCCTGTTGAGAGGCAACCTAGCCATGCAGATCAGTTCGGACTCGGCCTTTCCGCACTATCTAGCTTGGGAACGCGAAGCACCCTTGGCAATGTGACCGATATCACCTCCCAGCAACTGGGAGACCAAGCTAGGACGGAAGGCGTTGGTGATATATTAACCCGGTTATTGGAGACGCTATTTTATGCGCTTTTCAGCCGCCGGGGTTCCTGGGAGGATTATGCTCTACAGATTTTGCAAAAATTTGAAGAGTACACTTCCTGGACCTATTTGAAATCGTCGTTGAGACTTGCATTGCTGGAAACAGAGCCCCTGATGGCGAGAGAGTCTTGGATAAACTTGATAAAAGCTGCGGCGCGTTATAAAAGAGCCGATTTGTTCGAGGTCTTGCTAGACATTGGATTTCAGCGGCCTGAATGGATCAAGAAGTTCGGCTCTCGTTGCTTGTTAATGGCAGGCTTCGTCGACAATCCACCCCGCTTCGACAGCACTTCCATTATTCGACGGTTAATCGAACAAGGTGTCTCTCCCTACGCGGAAATTCGAACTGCCCTTCTCTTCAAACGAGCGCCTTTTCATATCGCAGCGGATAACTGCAACCATTCTTTACTATCATACCTCTTGGATGCTGGTATTGAGCCTCACCATAGAGACTCAAAGGGGCACACACTGCTCGGGCTGGTGATGATGGCGAAGGCCGACCAGTCGGACAAAGTCGCATGCATCCAATTATTATTTGAAGCTGGCGCCGACGCTCAAGCACCAATGAAATCTGCGAGGATGGATGGCTTTGAGCCACAAGACCCGAGCGCTTTGGACTTCGAGCTATCCCATGTCGACTGGGCGTATCTAAACGTCCCAGAGCTCTACCACAGCTGCTTCGAGAAGTATGAATCCACGCCCAATCTTACCATCTCGGGGATTCTCTCCGCGTCGGTTAACGGCCCTGAGGCATTGAAATCTTATGTGAACTCCAAATCGTTCTTTTGCCGACCCCGCCGCGATCTCATGCTAGAAAAGGCTCTCTATTTCCTCTGCACCCTCTCGGGTATTGAACGGCGGGTAAAAGCCGCGAGAGAATTGCTCAGTCTTGGTGTTGATGCAGACGCTGTTAGATTTCGCAGAAGCATGAGCTCTCGTCTCTGCGAAGGCGCCTTTTTTCCCACCTATATAAGTATCCCCCCTCCAGTCGAGCGCATTCTATCAAGAATGGAACCAGATACTCTGGATCAAGATTTGGAATTGCTCACTTTGTTCATCTGCCCCGGCGCGACGATAAAATTTCGGGTGGCCCTTACTCAGGCAGCTTCTACAAACCAGATCCGTGCTCTCGAGCTCCTCATCAACACCATGAATGATGCTGACATTCCCATCCATGGAGTTCCCGCATTGGTTTGCGTGGCACGACGTAACAACGCCGATGCTGTTTCACTCCTCTGTAAACACGGTGTTTCTATCAACAGCCAACTTCACAATCGATCAGTGCTCGCCCACGCCCTTGGGCCTGGTAGAGATGGCAGGTTTCCCTCCACGAGGGCAAATGCCGCCATGTTTCAGCTTCTTCTCGATTTGGGAGCCAGAATTGCACCGCCGGCCGACAGAGAAATCCTAGAAATAATCCTAGAGAGCGACACCAAGGATAAGTGTGAGAAAGTCGAGATTATGATTCGTCAAGGTGTCGACTTCTCTTGTTGGAATGGACTGTCTTTGACCTTGGCTATTATGACTTGGGAAGAGTGGTACGACTCTGATACACCAGACCCTAATTCCTGGCAACCCAGAGCGTTTGGGCTGCTCCTGGATCATAACTTCCCTGTTACCCAAACCGAGTTCTGCGATCGTCGCGGAGAAAAAGAATGTGCGCTCTCCTTTATCATCCTGATGAAGGCAGATGTGAGGTTAGTGCGACGACTTCTTGATGCTGGCGCGAGCATCAACCCAAGGCGCGAAGAATGTTACCGCACGCCCTTACAGGCGGCAGCACTAGTGGGAAATATGGATTTGGTGAACGAACTTGTTCGTCGAGGGGCATACATCAATCCTCCAGCGCCGGGTCCCCATTCCGACCCTGTTCTTGTATGCGCATGCCGGAGCGAAGAAGCGAAACTTGATTTAATTCAGTATCTGATTGAGAATGACGCTGATGTGAACGCGGTATCTCCCAAGTTACAACGGACCGCGTTGGAGGTTGCTTCGAGGTATGGCCGGGTGGACGTCTTGACCACACTCCTTGACGCAGGCGCAAGATGGAACCGATCAGGCCAGAAAATGAGCGCGTTAGATATAGCTGCTCGCTGGGGCCACATTGAGGCGGTTCATTTGTTAGTCAAGATTGGAGTGACGAGTGCAAAGCCTGGGAAAACTGGCTACGATTATGCCATTGAACTTGCAGACAAGGGAGATCACTGGACTGTTGCGGAAGTGATTCGTCGTTACGCGAAGGAGAAAAGAGCTTAATGATTTTATCCGAGCACTTCAGAAGTTGCAGAATTTAGTTTGGTCCTTTATGGCTCTTACCGTCTGTCTCAAAGGGCTCTTGAGATTCCAATCTTGGTGACAATGCAATGGGGCTATCGAGGTGGGTAGAGTGGTAACTCTATGTCAGGGGCTAACTCCTTAAAGATTGGCTATCTTTCCATCGAAAATTACATCAATTGCCACGGAGCCCAGCAATATCGTAACCCAAGGAAGATGATATTGAGTTTATTAAACCTGAGACGGAAAGCTGCGTAGGATTAGGTTTCATAACCAATATATCTGATGTTTTAATCTCTACAGTTTACAAGTACACTTCAGTTACGAAGTACAGTTAGCCTTACTCTCAAATATAGCGGCGGCCGGGATAATATCTCTAAACTAGGTTTTAAAATAGGCATGCGTAATCTCAATACAGATCCCAGTTCCGAGGTAAAGTTACTCCACATTAAAATAGATTGGTGGCGTTGACCAGTGGAAGTTGCGTGAAGCTTGGATACCTGAGCCAGACGGCATCTCTAGGCATCACGAAAATGATGAGACAAAGGCGTACGGTACGTTCAGGGTCTAGATAGATAATATGCAAAGCTTCTTTCATATACTTGCAAATGGCTTTCTTCTTCATGCAAATTACCGAGTGGAAGTACATGCCAGCCAGAGGGTTCAAATAGCAGATCTGCTTCAACGTCCTCGTATCGATTCCTCCCGCTTTTTTTTGGATTCCCAAGCGAGAAATATCCCGCCTAAATTCTCAACATTTGTGGCATTTACTTATCGATCTTCCCAGGAACCCATGGGTAGTTTACTCACCGTGATATCGTGATCCAACGCTCTCTCCCAAAGTCTCTCGAAGAAAACGTTCCCGCTTTATACTATCGGCAAGTGTCCGCGTGAATATCTTCTAATGTAGTGATTAGGATAACACCCTTGACTGCCGTGTATTCAAATGTGCCATTCCCGAGCCGCTCGTACGGGGGTAGCCGAGTGTTGTTCTTGGCCAGGACGCTCTTCTGCAGTAGATGATTCTTGGTATTTTCCGGATGTCATCCAAGAATGACGTCGTCATATAGTCGATATTCTGTTGTATCTCTCTCAGAGAAGTAACAGATTGGACTGCCCTTGGGAATCAATAGTTCCCCTCCTTCTTTCGCTCTCCAGTTGGAATATTCGTCGTGTATTCCCGCGAATTCCCTCGTCGTCGTGGCAGTCATGGGGTACATGTTTGTCAAGGCGCAGCCCCGGGTCCCATTAGCCTCATCGAGGTCCGCAGTATGGGAGCAGGCGAAGACCCGGCCACCATCAGCTCGGATCAGTGCGTTCCAGAGAGTAACGGCTAGGCCGCAGACTAGCATAGGATCACTGTCGTACCCTTCGTCGTTGCCAACTTTGAGCGCTGCCAGAACAGCTAGTTCACGATGGCTCGTATATCTTCGATTCCAAGTAGCCAAGGGGACGCTGCTACGCGAGTCACCCACGCAAACGGTGATCGAGGGCACTTGGAAAACCCATTTCAACCAATGTCGTAGGAGTTGGCCGGTTGTTGTATCATCCATGAGGAGAAGCGATCCGAACTCACTGCGAGATGGGTTATAGCCCCCGCCCCCCACGGGGTCAGGCTGTATTTAGCGCCAGATTCTACACTCTTGTGTCCTTATTTCCCAGACTTCTTCTAATCGTCTTCGCAGTCCGTCGAGTCAAATTCGTCTACGTAAAGTAGCAGACAAGGAAAATACTGACGTGGCCGTGGCGGACCCCATTCACAGGTTCATGGTTATCGAGGGGCCACAGCCTGTTGCTGTTCAATTCTCCCGACATGACGGCCACCTTATACGAGGCAAGAATTCTCTTTGGATCGGCGATCGCACAAGGGAGTTCACATGCATGACAGTCCTCTGCTGTCTGCCTTCCTATTTCACTGTTGGACTTCTCATCTCGCAGTGGTCGGATGAAGACGCACAGTATCTTTGGCTCATCTATAAGTTATATGCTGCCATTTCTATGCATATAGTTCGACGGTTGGGATGGCAAGATATAGGGAGAACCGAGAAACGGATATTAATAGCGAACTTGCTGAGATGGAAAGATTGTGTGGCTGAAGGCTGCAAACGATTGTAGCTGCCTCCCTGGTTATCCACGGCGTAAACAAGACTGCAGACGAAAAGGACAAGGTGCTGGAAATAATCGATCAATTCAGGATGCGGCTCGAGAGACGAGACAACCCGACGCCAACCATGAAAAAAGTTTATATCAGAGCTAGGGTATCGGGGATGTACGCCTGATAGGATGAACACGAGCGGCTAAGTTTCTTGTCTCTTGCATCGCGTTCTCTTGGACCTTCAGCTTCGGGTAGAGTCCCGACTTCACCACCTTCCTCGAATTTCACGAATAATGGCTGGATCGGGTAGACTCGCTCCTTAACGAAGTGCTACTGCGCTACACTAGGCTCGTTCGTATCTATTATAAATTAATTAAACTCCCCAGTTACACAATTCTTGTAAGCGTTGTTGATGGTAATAGCTTGATGTCGCCGAGTTGCACAGGGCTGTTGAATGAGTGGTTGAAAATAAATATTGCTCCCCCCCCTTCCCTCACACGTCTATCAATTCCTGAGTCCTGACCGAGTCCTCCCCCGAATTCACCAGCATCCGGCTCTTAGACATGGCCTTGCGAATATCTCCAAGGTCTCCCTTCGAGGAGTGCCAAGTTGGCCAGATACTCGTCCTCAAGGCAGATGATGCCCACCCCGCACTTTCCTCCCCATCGTCTCCCATCTTTGTGCGCATTCGCCAACTCCATTCTCACACACTCTCCTGCAATATGGTCTTCGATATCCTAGATAAAGAGGGCTCGGTCCTGCTTGACTCCTCGCCCGCGTTCTTGAAACTTTTCGATCGACGCTTTGCCATCCAGCACCGACAGGATAATGGGGTCGAACTCTGGACCCGTGAAGTGGAGGTAGAATATCTTGATGCTCTTAAAACTGACACGATCCCACAATTCCTCGATGACCTTCACAATATCGAGAATTTTCAGGACGATACGGAAGAGGATTGGGATAAGACCCAGGTCGAAGCTTTCCTCATAGATGAACTCTTTCCGTTGTACGAGACTGAGACAAAGGTATATCGTACACTACAGGAATATCAGGGCCGCTTAATTCCAAAACTTCTTGCCGCGGTGACCTTAGAGCTGGAACTCGATCCTATAAACCTAGACGTCACCAGCGAAGACAAGGACCGCCCCCCGGAAGCGCTCGAACTACTGCACATTAAGGGTATCCTGTTGCAGTACATCCAGGGATTTGACCTATGGAGCATGCCAGATCACGCTCCTCGGACCTCATGGCAAAATATCATCGATCAAGCAGTCGCTGTCGTCCGGGTTGTTGGTGACAACTATATCCTTAACAGAGATGTTCGCCCGGAAAGTTTCAGAGAACGACTATAAGGTATTTATGATTGATTTTGCACTCTGCCGGTTTAAAGGTGAGAACGAATCAGATGCAGAGTGGGCGGATGCCAAGTTTACCAAAGACGAAGAGGGAGCCGTTGGGTTGGTTATGGAGAAGAGGCTGCTAAATGGATACGGGTTTGAGCTGCATTACGAGACCTCGCTACAGTATTTGGAGGAAGTCGAGCGAGGAGGGCTGTAGTTCTCAAACCCGAGGTTAGGAGGAAAGAGCATAGGCAATAGATAGTGACCAAGAGGGATTTACACAAGATTTAAGATAGCGGGAAACAAGGATAACGTGGGGTCAGGAACCAGTTTATCTAGGGCTAATATTTCAACGCCCGGGGGAGGGAGTGGGTATGCTGCGCGTCTCGTCACTAGGGATTGCGCGTCCAGCAGGGTCTCCTCCTCAACAGCGAACCCTTAGGTTCCAGGTGAGCCGCAGAGCTGCACCTATACCCGGGCAAGGGGCAAGTGTGCAAAGATGATGAATGGAGTTGTCCGGTACTGAGGCGGAGGAACAGCGTGTTACGGGGGCTGAAGCCAGCTAGGCCATGGAGCCCACAGAGCGTGCCAACCTTTCAGGACTCATGTCTGCTTCTTTCAACGCCTTGGGTGGTCTGAGCAGCTTTAACTGGCTTGGGGAAAAACAGCGTTGCCAAGGCTGACCAGCAGTTTCCCTCGTTGGTGGCTACGCATCCAGAACAAGGACCAGGAGGCGAAGATCCTCCTATCGGCCCGCCCTCCTAGGTGACGTGCGCACGGCGGTAGGAAACAGCCGAAGAGGCGATCGGTACGGTATAGGCGGCGCATTACAGCGTCAAGGAGGTCACTGACGGGAACTTCGGCTGCTCCCCCGACTTTATCGTCGGACACGACAGGGAGCTAGCTTCTGGGCTCAGCTTCTAGCTCCTGGGTCTGAGCAAAGTGTATAGTGGCATCTTTAGGAATGAAGTGCCCCACGAGGGCCCCCTAGATAATAGCATCGGTTGTTGAATAAGGGGGACTTATATCGTATGCAGTGATTATAGCGCTTTTGCGCAAAAGAATGCGGACCATTTGATAGATATGCTTCCTCATATGTTATTGCATCGAAGTCTCTACGAGCCTTATTTTAGCATCATCATCCTAACTTATGTCTGAGGCATGGCCATCTAGGCAATCAAAAAAGCCGTCGTTCGAGCATCGCCGTCACTAGCAAGTTCCGACACAAATCTGCCGTCCATGACTCCGGAGACGTACGCTGACCCAATCATCCTGAATTTTCCCTCCCAAGGCCTAAGAACGTGAGGAAAGTCTAGCCCGCCAAATATGGCTACGACGTCTCCTTCTCGGACCCCATGCTTGTGGTATGAGAATCCTATATAGCCTTTCGTCGTTATGAAAAGTGTACTCTGAACCAAACTGGCGGCCCTCACACGGATTGCCCATCTCAGATCCTTTATCTCATGTGGGACAAATCGCGGAGGTTTCTGCCTATCCAATTCCTCTCGCAGCTGGGATAGCTCAGTTAGAATGCATGCCAGATACGAGTGGCTAGACTGGAACCGAACCGAACCGTCTGGCTCCAAGTCCTCTTTGCTCGGTTTGGCATAAATGCTCTGAAACTTGGATACGAAGTCCCAAAGTCCTGGACATTGGCTTGGTTCATCCTCACTGGGTATATCCGCAACGGACGTGATCCGATCTAACTCGAAGCCGCCTACCACGAGTTCGAGCCCGTCCGAGGAGACGCTCACGGAAGCGGGCATTCCACCGCATGCTTCTTCACCATCCCGTCTGAATGTAGACGATCTTAAAAAACAGTACGACCAACGTTTGTAGCATTCATCGACGTCACTGAGATCTGGTGTCCATGACGGGAAGCCACTCTCGAGCCGAGACGGTGAAATCCAGTCGTAGATGCGTAGACTGCGCTCCGTCTTAATGACACGCACTACGACGCTCCGTAGTATATCGTCTACGGGGGCATCATACTTTGGCTTCGGCAGCTTGTACGAGTCTGGAACCATCGAGTAGAGGGCATAGACTTTATCCCGAACATCGCTCGACCTTAGCCAGTATGTGTTTACCATGAGCCATGACATCGTCATGTCGCCCTGTTGGAACTGTTCTCGAGTTCCCAAATGGAGAGATGCACCGTGGTAGAACCGCACGCTCTCACCGAAGTGAGAGACAGAGTCCTGAATTTTCTCAAGTTCCATGCTTGTCATATAATCCGACGGCGGACTCTCTCCGAGTTCTTGAAGCGTGCGCTTCATCTCAGAAACCAACCCGCCATCTTTCTTAGCCCATGCAATACAGGCTAGACTAGATTTTAACGTAGAACCACCATAGAGCAACAACGGCTGTCGCTGTGCCAAGGCGAACTCCTGCAAAATCCACATGCGCGTCCAGTACAAGTTCTCTTCGAGCATGCTCATGACGTCGAGTATCGTTCGGATAATTTGATGTCTTGTCTCGAGCCTTCGGAGCCGAAAAGCGGGTGTGGGCGTACACAAAGCGAGCAGATCGATGGTCCTACGCACGATGCGTCGTGGTGCCATGGGCCACCCTGAAAATAGAAGCACGTACGCGAAGCTTTTTCTCCGCACGCGATCTGCCAAGATAAATGCTCTTACCACCTTCCTCTCTACTTCTTTCGATAAAGGCTCACCAAGCCAGCAGATAACGTCTCCGGCCATAGAATAAATTTGAGCCATCAAGAGCACTTGGTGGCCCCGCTCAGCTAGGTCGTCTTGGTTGATACATAGTTGGTCGACCCAGAGCAAACGAGAATGCCACTTCTTGCGAACACGGAGGAGGGCTAGATAGAGATTAGACGTGACATTGGCTTCGTGACCGTCGATGACTACCTGTCGGTCGAAGTTCGGCTGGCCCCAAACATACGAGAGAGCGTCAAAATTCGGTAGCGGTTTGAGACTAAGGCAAACGGTCTTCATTCGACAGATCACCGGTGCATCCCGTCGAAGGGACGGGAGGATCTCCAATAGGCGTATTTCATTCTGATTCCTATTGAGGGGGTGATATAAATTCGCCCTTACAGTCGAACCGGAGTGCATTATGAGATATGAAGACTCGAAGAGCTCACGCAGGATGAGCCGACAGGGAAATTTGGTTAGGCATGCCTGGGTATGTAAAAAGGCCTAGATCAGGCGTAAGTAATACAATCAACAACAATAAGCCGTTTCGTGATTGAAGCTTATTATGGATAAACTATGGTAAAACTAGTTAAAGGACAGACGACTGTTATATTATGACTGGATTTGCGATATTGTTAGGCTTGGAAATAACACAAGGACTATGACGATTGACCGGGGACGAATGCATCAATATTATTGGAAGCAAATTCAAGCCCAGCAACAAAGTATTCCATCGAATCGCAACTATTCAGCCCAACGCCGCCCAAGAGTACCCTATCACCAAGGAAACCAAGCTTTCCGTTAAGCCCAAAACTATCAGTTAGACTAATACCACCACCACTCCCTACTCATAGCCTAGCGAAGTCTTTTCACATACAGCATCATAAAGTCCTCATCTATTTTCAGTAGTGAGGCAAGGAAGCAAAACAGGCAAAAAACACATCCTCGTCACTACCAAGAATTAGTAGATAGGCTATACAGTTTCCACTACTACCATAATTACCACCCCTACTCAGGGCACAAAGCAGATACAGCGCATATACTAGGGCCCACTAAGATCATCCACTACACTAAGTAGGCTATTGACAAGTAGATAACTAAGGACCCTACTAACAAAGAAGTCGACTCCATTCCTAAGTACATAAGTAGCCCAGATATAGGACAGCTTTGGTCAGCTGTCAGGGAGGGCAGCAGGTTTATTAGCATCACGCAGCATCCTAACACTGTCAAGCCCTAGGGAAACACTCAAAAGCTTACGGAGAAGAGAATCTTTTCATTGTCAAGTCTCTAGGTAGTGAGTTGGCCGAGATCGCTAAGCTTATTGACGCTGGCAACCTCAAGCCACTCGTCGACAACGTGATGGAGTTTGAACAGTTTCAGAAGGCGTTCAACACGGTTGAGTCGAGGAAGATGGAGGGAAAGGGGGTCCTCAAGGTAACGATTCAAGAGCTGTTTATAGATAATACAACTGAGTTCAGAACCTCGTTGTGTAGTGCTGTCCTTCATCCTGGGCTTTAGGTTTGAATAGATATAGTACAAGATAACGCTACCGATTGAACTCTGTGTTTATTTACATTGGTTGTATGGAAGAGTTTGACTAAGGTCTTTCTCTTAGATGGCGTAGTAGAGCCAAGTCACTAGATCCGTATCATATGAGAACACGACGGTTTAACTCGTGCTAGCCACCACCTCGCATGCCATTATGACTGCGGACTTGGCGAGGTACGGGCTCCTCTACGCTGTAAGGCATCCATATCAGATCAAGACGAACCACTCATCGTGCTCAGGCGACCGCGCGTTCCAGAACTCGCCATCCATTATCCCGCCGACATAGGCTGGCCCAACATACCGGAACCAATCCCCCCAAGGCCGGAGGACGGCGGCCAGCGAACTCCCATTGAACACGGCGACAACGTCGCCCTCCTGGACTGTGTGAGTCCCTAATCCGATGTACCCGCCGACGGTTCGGAACACTGCCTTCCAGTGATTCACAGCGACCGTGCTGAGAAAAGCATGCATGCCAAGGCTAAGTACATGCTCACCTGTCCGCAGGATTCTCGTGTCATTCTGTAGATTCTCCTGCGGGTCCATAAGGATGACCTGACCTGAACCGGGGTACGACCTCGATCTCGCCACTAATACAGACACGCACCGGACGAACGAGTCGAGTTGTCCCGCAGGGAGGGGTTTTGACTGCGACGCATGCTGTGTCAGCAGTTGGGTCAGCTGCCGCGCCGCGGATTCAGCCTCCTGGTGATCGCTCCGACCCTGAACGACGTCGAACCAGCTGCCGATGCAGTCAATAAGGCTTGTGATGGATTGTCCTGTTTGCATCCGCGCGTCCCCCAACAGGTTCGTCGAAGCGTCCGTCATCCAAGGCAGGCCGGATGCGGAGATCACGTCCAACCGCCGACCTTTGACGTTCAGGGCCTGGCCATCAAGCGTGAGCTCATACTCCCACTGAGTATGGCCGGAAAGGTCAGGCTTCCCTTTTCCAAAGACGGCCATGTGAGGTGGATTGGACGGAGACCACCTGCGGATACAGCCTGAAAAGTCTGGCACCCAGGATGGGAGCCCCCGCTCCCAGCCGGACGACTCACAAACGCAGGACAGTAGCTCGAGGCCGGGTTCGTAGCGGATTATCGCCCGCGCCGCCTCGGTGTATATCACCTCCAATGGCTTCTGATAATCCGGGGCCGGCAGCTCGAACCCGAAGCGTTTACACATGCCGTAAAAGGCGTAGATCTTGTCCTCTGGTCTGGTCGCTTCAAGCATGAGAGCAGGAGGAATGAGTACACTGGAAAGTGTCAAACGAAAGTTAGACACCGGCTCGCCCTCTTCCTTCCTACGGATGAATTCGTTCATGGCATCATGGTAGTCTAGGTACGACTTCCAATGGCGGTGCGACACGTCCAAATCGATCTTCGAGTAGGGGAGGACCCCAAAATCCGCCCCAGCGACCACTATCTTCCAATGAACCAGGTGCTTGCCGCAGTAGAACAAAACGTTGCGTCCTAGGACGACTTCCTGGACCACCTACAACGGTCAGCGCTCGGTCATCATGATTGTGCTGGTGTTTTAAACCTACCCAGGTCCGCCTGAACCATGGTAGACGGAACATGCCGTGGAGCTTTCCGTAAGGATACTCCGGCGTTATTGCTAAAAGGTTGAGTTAGTGGTGGTAGATTATTACCGCAACACCCTGTAAAAGCTTTCTTACTTAGTACGTCGTCGGCCAAGCTCTCGTACTTTCTCCGAAAGAATGACTGCTGTGGTCCAGGCAGCATCGCACCAGTACAGTAAGTTCCAAGGCTCTTCAGTGCCATAACAGCCACTTCTGCGGCCGGGTCACCTTCACCTAGATGGACGTTAACCTGGATCGCACTCCGGTAGATGCGATCCATCATAGCGACCTGACCACCCCTCTCTTCTAGCGCGTCAGGGGTGTCAGCCTGGTTGATGCAGATGGAATCAACCCAGATATACCTCTCAGCTTTACCACGCAACATGCGTCGCAGGGCGCTGGCGCAATTGGCCGTGATTCCGAGCACTTTTCCGTCGATCTCGATGCTCGCGCATAGCGTAGGGTCGCCCCAGGTGTACGATAGCGCGTAGTATTCCGGAGGTGCATCGATCGAGGCCTCGATGAGCGAGCCACAGAGGGGCATGTCCTTGTCCTCGCCGACAAATCGCATTACCCTCTTCAAATGGAGAATGCGAAAGCTGGTGGTTGACGCCAGAGGCGTGTAATGGAAAGGGCCATTGTTGCTCTCGGTGGTGCCGATGGGCGACGGATGGCTTGGTGAGACTGCCTCTCTCAACGCTGCTGTAAAGACACCCAGAAATTCGCGGCCCGTACGCCTGAAAGAGCCCCTCATCTCCACCTGCCGAGCATAGCAGTGACTCGACGCAGAGTGCAGAGATCTTGGGGACCTGCCCATGCATAGACGAGTTGGACGAGTATCTTGGGTCATCTTACCCCTCCATGGGTTTTAAGGCTGGGGCGGGCAAAAGAGCTCAACATTACACCGAGAATCTACCGACGGAGTTCCAAGAACTGATTTCATGGCCAAAAAAGAAGGGTGTACTTCGTATTGATTGACTTCCAAATAGGGGAAACCATTCCTTTGACAGGTTCCATCAGAACTCCCAGATCGGAATTCGGACTGACCCTCAATCCGTGCCTAGGCCTTCCGACAGAATGCTCTCAATTCTCGGGCAGATTCATAAGACAGAAGCATCCCGTGTGATAAGATGTCTAGCCTTTGACGTCTTGGCAGGACTACTGCGGGAGTGTGCTCTGCATCCATACATAAGCATCAATGATGCCTACTGGCCGCTTAGTGAGGTGTCGCGTTTTTTCGGGATGCTCCTCCAAGCTTCACCTTGCTTCAAAACCTCCAAAAGGGCCGGGATGTTGCCGCGTTACAATCGGTCGACCCATCACTATGAAATTCCCCAAAACATCCAGCCTCGTATGGGCCTACCTCACTCGGCTCTGTGCCGTTGGCCTCACTGAAGCCCAAAGCACCTCACCTTCAGTATATACAGTAACCACAGCGGCTCTTCTCACATTGCCCCCGATGTCAACATCTCCAGGCGCTCAGCTATGGGGTACCCAGATAAGCAAGAGTGACGGTACTACTGAGATTGTACTTGGCTGCGATCCATCTTTTGAGACTGCGCCACCCGAGCCCTGGGGTGACTTCGTGGGAGCCACACTCACCTCTAGAGATTCTCGCCGGGTTAGTCTAGAACTGTAAGTGTCACGCGCGCCCGAGATGGATGGCTTCCCCTCCGACCTCTCACTGGTTCCGCATTGTTTTGACCTAATACCACATACTCGTGCGCTTTGACCGGTATAGGGAGGGCCGGCCCTGCAAAAGCAACGTGTAGAGTCAATATCGCCGATGAGCCACCAACCATTACTACTGCGAGGGGATTCGGGACGTTGTGGAAGTGGACGACAGAAATGTATGTAGTTCTTACCACCACCGCCGAACCGACTCCTGTATGGAGAAGGGTCCATTTTTGCGATGATGGATCCGTGGTGACGTCTGTGGGTGAGTGCTCGTCTGGAGTTGTTGCGCGGTCCATGGCCATTAAGCCTCTGGTAGCAGCTCTGATGGTGGCGATGCTGTTGGTATAGGACCCTGCTCCCGGCATATGGCAAGAATAAGTGCACCGTAAACAAGAAACGCACGCTCGCTCAAGCTTTTGTCCGAATGGCCCAACCGCCCCACGTGAATGCATGGTCTTACACGGACCACGCCGCATCAACTCAGTGGCTGACCGAACTACGTGAGAAATATGGTGATGCCCTAGATTTTCTTGCGGCTTCATGACCCAAAACAGCACCTTCACCCGCAAATATGGTAGCAACACCCTCTCGACGATATGAAGTAGAGAGCAAGGTGCTTGCTGTCCGTACATTATGCGTTGACACACCCGACCTGTTCCCTATCGATGGGCCCGTTAAAGGGAGGTTTGTGGCCGTTCCGGTATCTGGGAGTGGTTACCCTAGAGGGAGAGGCGATGGGGGGCCTTTGGCTTTGTGTCTCCCGAAGACGGGAGCTGGGCTAAGATTGTCATCGGCCCTGCCTGGCTTAACACAGTTGCGCCGCGGATCAACGGCTCATCTCTGTCGCTCACTGGAGAGTCATGAGAGACGGTATACCCTGACAGTCGCACCCCGTTAGAGGCGCTTATGAATGCCCGACATTTCTCATTATCCACTGGACCAGAACATACGAAGGGACTGCAGATCGTTCAAATCGAGCGCCTTCTTTCAACGTACTTCGCCGACGGCATATCTCACTCGGGTGCTCGTCTCGTTTCTCAATCAAACCTGCCTTTTAGAAGGATGTATAAGTTTAGGAACACCACCAAACATGCCGTCGAGTTTCCGGGGCTGGATGAGCGCATGGCCCGATCTATCGTTCGACTTGGTGAACCGCTTCCGCTTGGCGACCCGGCTTCGCAGCCGTCAGCGAAGTTTGTCATGGAAGCTTTCTTTTCGGGGTATGCGATGGCGATGACCGGTTGGTTCGACTATTTTAGCGCTGTAATACTCCTGGTACACGTTGCCATCGCCATCTTCTTCTTCTTTTGGGTAGTATTATTCGGCCGGACTGGCGATAGCTGGGACACACCAGCCGAGTTGCTCGCCCAGGCTTTCACGTCGCCTCCACTCAAGGGAGGCGAGTTACTGTAGGCGAAACCTGCGCCGGGACTAGGCTGTTGGAAACACCGAGGCAGATCATGTGGGTAGATGCTGTGGGCGAGGAAGACGGGACTCGGCTTTTGACACCTGAGGGACCTAGTGGAGGAAAGATGATGACGGGGGGAAGAACTGAAGAATTAGCACTGCGGATTGAAAAGGTTGCCCGAGAGGAAAGGGTTCTAAACCTAAAGTGGATAAGAAGTATGGGCGACACGCCTTCACTCGATCTAAGACGATATAGTTGGAGAGGTTTCTCTATCAGGATAGCCTAATAATTGGATCCATTTCTTATCCACTCTTGTAGACAGCCTATCGTAGACCACCCCAGGCTCGCCGCACATGTAGGCAGGCGTTCCAAGACCACCCAAGACCTTGTCAACTATATAGAAGAAACCATCCAGGCTCGCCCACCAGCCCTAAGGAAATTACTCTCCCTACGTTTAGGGGCAGCTGCGGACATTCATGGTTAACCCTAAACCATCCCTGGTAGTCGGGGTTAGAGCCCAGCCGTGCTTAACTTCTCTCAGGCCTGTTTGTTTCCATGATTACCCCTATTATTAGTATTCTACGGTTTCGCGAGCACATGTTTTTTTAGCCCTGGGGAGAGCAATTGGCATTAGGATCTATTAATATGACGGCATCCTCCGGTGGCTTCGACCGACAAACCGGCGCGGAGAAGTGGGTCATTGAAGTTCGTGATCGGTGAACGTTCGGGAGATGGCCGAGGTGGTGTTCCTATTTCGGGTTTTGAGATTTCGCTGTGGATACTGTGCAACCAGAACTCGTCGTACTCGCCTTACTCCAGGATCCCCTGCGAAAGGCACCGACGATCATCACTATGAGTAGAATCAACGGCCTTTTCACACTCTCTGGTTGCGCTGTGTACAGCACGACTTTATCCACTTCCAACGTTCAATGTCGGAATGCCCGCGGGTCATCCAGGGATTGGCGAGTGATCTTTCTGATTTTCACCGACCGAGGATCATCTGGGGCAGGTGGCTGAAACAGGAACACCCCCTGCAAGAGCAGGTCTCTGGCGAATTAAAAGCATGAAACCGATATTCCTCCCAACCGGTTTTCTCCCGCTCCCCTTCACAAACCTCATTGGGAGACTCTGAATGGACCACGAACAGCGGGGATCCCGGGAAAAGGAGCCTAAATACCATCAGATCTTTCGAGGTAAAATAGAACCCGGAAATTGGAAAGCGATGAGAAGTCAAAAATAGGTACTGGTGTTCTTCAGCGATCACGCCTCTCGGCTTAACTGTCGGAGATGCTTATTTTCTTCCTCGTTATTTTCTCTCGCCCTGGTCCTAGGGAGTCTGAGCATATTCAAAACAATGCAGGAGCTGCTTGACTCCGCACCACGGACACCTGCGCCACTCCCGTTCAGGGGCGACTTAAACGGGCAGGTAGTGCTCTGGCAGATGAACCAGGGGAGCCAATGATGCTGTCAAAGAACCATATGGGACGAGCTCGGTGCATAGACTGAGAGGCGGAGCCGGAGGGATTCAAAAGATTGAATGACATTTTTGACAGTTCAGTCTTGGTCGGGGCATAGACCTCGTTTTATCAGATGAACTGCTCTCGGCCCCTCATCTCTGAGCTTAATGCTTCTCACCATTTCACTATACGGATGCTGGCAGACCGAAGGGGTGATGTAGAAAATAGTCCATCGTCCTCCATTAGCATCTCTTGAAGGGGACCAGCCATTCATTCCCGGACCCTTCGTTTCCGTTCTTTCGCTGCTGGGCAGTAACGCACTCTTTTCTCCATTCCTTTTCCCAGCGTTCATTTCTTATAAAACATGGTCCGCATACAGACCATCGCCGGCCTGCTCATAGGGCAAAGCACCTTCTATGTGAGTGCCGCGTCCATTCAGCCTTTAGCTCTATGGCAGGCCGATTCCTCGGCGACCAACTTGATTTCCAGCCGTAATCTCCAGGGCACCGACGATGTATCTATCACCGTGGAGCCTGCGGCTCCCATGATCATGACTCCCCTCCGAATCAACCGCGGGGGAAACACCAAGCGGGACCGCAGAGAAGCCCTCGCGCCCCAAGCCGAGGAATCTCTCTACTGGAGTGCCCAAGACGGCACCGTCGCCGAACTCACCCTCTCCATGCCCGGCGAAAACGAAAACATCGTGAACCTAGAACGCATAGACGACATGGTCCGGAACATTGAGTGTCTGCGCAACGGCACGGGACAGGTCAAGATCCAATTCGCGGAGGAGGCCGATTTCGACGACGCCGAGGACATTTGGCAGTGGGTCAACCAGGAGCCGGGGAACCACTTCACGCTCCTCGTTGGCGCCGGCGCCTGCGGTTGGAATGAAAATCAAAGAGTTCTTTACACTGTTACGGGACTTGTGTATAACGACGAGAGCGAGACAGTGATTCTGGAGGCCGAGACTACCACGTGGAAGGATTCGGTGCATACGTTTTCTCTCAATATTGGCAAGCCCGCTGTTGTTAATGGCGCACCTGTCCAGCGACGGACCATGGCTGGTGTTCGTGGTCGCCGCGGCTTCTTTGATAAGGTTAGGGATGCTCTGAAAGGTGCGACGGATAAGGTTGTTGACACAGCATCCGATATCGTGGGCGCAGTTGGCGATGCCACCGACAAGGCAGTCGATACGGCGTCGGGTGTTGCCGATAAGGTCGTCGACACGGTCACCGACGCTGCCGGGAAGGCTAAGGACGCCGCCTCCGATGCTGCTAGTACTGTTGGAGAGGGAGCTGGCCAGGCAGCGGACAAGGCCGTCGACACAGCAACTGACATCGTCAACAACGTGGGAGATGCCACAGATAAAGCTGTAGATAAGGTAGTCGACGTTGTGGGAGATGCTACTGATACAGTCGCGGACACGACGGGCTCTGTCGTCGATGTCATCGGCGACCTCATCGACCCCGACCACAGCGCCGATTTCTCTATCCCATTTGACAGCGACTTCACGGGAAAATCTCTCACCTTCTCCGTGGACGGTGTTGACGTGACTGCCAGCTGCACCGAATGCACCACCACCGGTTCCTTTAACATCCGAGGCAGCTTCCGAGTCAACCAGTTCCTCACGGAAGAGGCCTGGATCGAGCTCTCGACAGGGGGCGTCACTGCCAAAGCCGTCCTCGGATTGACCTTGAAGGGCGCCTTGACTGGTAAACTCGCTGAGAAGAGTGTTCCCATCGTCAAGTTCTCGCCGGCTGGTGTTTCCATCCCCGGCGTGCTGACCATCGGCCCGACCATCTCGGTAAACTTGGGCGCCGAGATTTCAGAGGTTAGGGGTAGCGTCGGCGTTACGCTTGGCGGGACGGCGACCATCCCCGCTTCGTCGTCGAGGTTGGATTTCTTGAGCGAGGATAAGACGACGGCTACGGGGTGGGAGCCGACGTTTGATGTGGCGCCGTTTAAGGCGGATGCTTCTGTTGAGGCGAAGGCTACCGCATTCCTGAAGGCTGCTGTTGGTCTTGAGATCAGTGCTGTCGGTATGTCTTTTTCTACCTCTTCTCAAAAAGAGGATTGACGTGGAGTTGGGCCCTTTAGTGATAAAAACTAATCATTTCTGTCACAGAGACTGGATTCTCCGCCGAATTGTCAGCAAATCTTCCTGCCCTCACTGCGAGCCTCAAGGCCGTCACCTGTACGTTTTTCCCGTTCTTGCTCTCTCCCATCTTTATAACTCCTGCCCTGGACTGTGACTAAAAGCGTCTATAGCTGCTACATGTACGGTTTGTGGCGATCATCAGAGTGGTATCCAAGGTAGCCTCACACTTGGCACGTCTGTTGGTGTCAGCCTCAAGAAGAAGGTCCTTGGAGATGAGGAGCCGCTCTGGAGCCTCTCATTCGCTGTAAGTTCCGAACGTCCCTCCCAGTTATGTATCTTTCACGTCGTTTCTGACTGTTGGATGTTTACAGGATGCTAAACTTGCCGACCTTGCTGCATTCTGTTTGGGGATTGGGCCAAGCGGCGACCAGTGTTTGGCGAAGAGATTCGCAGAGGAGTGGGATGAATCAGCCGTATATTAGGCTTCTTTACCTGCCAATACTCTTCGGTAGATGATGGAGAACATTGAAGGATGAAGACGCCGTTTGATGTGGGTCATGAAGACAGGACGTAGGTTGTTTCGCTTAAGTGGACTCGAAATGTAGATTATGTGCAGCGATCTGAAGGATGGTAATAATCAAGATATCAAGCTTGTTCGGAGGGTAATTTGGACGAAGTGAATCTACTTATATCACAATGAGCATAGAAATTCTGTTACAGGTGATATCGGGGTTGTAGACCTTGGATCATTCAAAGTACATCCACGATGACAGTTCTTCGGGCAGTTTGTCTCTTCTCTCCTAGTCATCACTCGCTGAGCCCATAATAGGCAAAAATGCAGCAACAACATCATAGAGGGAAGAGCCTTGCTGGGTTCGAGTGAAGGCGATGGTAAAGTAGATTTGGTCTTCTCAGTTCCGAGTCTTTAGCCTCGACAGAGAGCTCCGGGAGGCGCCCGATTGTCGCCGGAAGGCATTCTACCAGGCCGCCAGATTCTCAATAAATATATTTCAATCGGCGGAACCTACCTCTCGGCTCTAGCACAGGTTCTATATAGCCAGGAGTCTCTCTGTCAACGTGAACGCGAAATAAATGAGATGTACCGTCCGCAGGGCATGATCTACGCCGTCATCATAGCTTCTAGTTAAGAGATATATACAAACAATCGTAGGAACAGCACGTGGAGTAGCCTCTTGTAGAGTTGGTTAAACATTTAGGAAGCGATATTCAAGATGGAAAGCAATGTGCATGCTTAGAGGAGCCTTTAACACTAGATTGGAGAGCGATTCCTACCCATGAGCTCCGATGAGGAGGCACCTATTTTGAAGGAGCCTCCTCTGAACACTGCGTCTCTGTACTTCTCACAAGGGCTCCGGAGCTCTGGCTTCATCATTGCGTAGACATTCAGATCACGGACGTCGTACAGAGGCTGAGAGTAGCTGCAAGGGCAGTATGCACCCTCGTGTCTCGTGTGAGGATGCAATTTCCAAAATTCCTGCTTCTGTCTGCCTTGCGTCGTTATCCTGGTAACTCGGTGACCTCTCTGCCACCCTCATTTGGCTGGCGTCCAGGAACAATACGCCTCCTTGGTCTTGCGGGTGATGCATAATACAGAAGAAGCCTGGATTGAGAGTTTCCAGCCGGCCGGCCCTGTTTTGTTTGTAAAGGACACCTCGTTGAGACTCAAGCGGCGATATTAAAGCTACTTGTTAGACTTACTTCCATATAGCCAGAAGGGCTACGAGATGAGTTGGACTAGAATAAAGGGCCGGGGTCATGGAGACACGTAACTGGATGCGACAATCTTTACTTCGCTTTCACGCCCCGGCCCTAAGCCGCATCATCGCCGTTGGCGGACCAGGCCAGCTTCGACGACGAAGTCGCGCGGGCAGATCAAGCCTTGTTGTACTTCAAAGGCCCTTCTCAAAGTGGATTAAAGCTCCCTCTTTTCAGAGGAGGCGCGGCGTCGCTCTCGACAAGGCCTCATCCCTTCTTCATCGCCGACTCCTGCAAAGTCAACCCAGAGAAGATGGGGGATCGACAAACTATCTAGAACACCGCCGAGATGGGGAGACTCCGATGCTCCAATCGCCATCTCCAGCTCAGATCAAACATTCCAAAGCCTGGTTTTCCCACTTCTTTGCGCGAAACAACGCCGCTACTGAAATTACAGGGTGAGCATAAATCATCACCGTTGCGCACCTCCAAAAGCCGAGTCCACACAAGGCCGAAGAACCCTCTCAAAACCATGAGAACTTCTTGAATTCTGTGTGATTTCATTTCACGCACACCACTACACCCCTTCACTGATGAGAGCAAATCTTCATAACCGCCGAACGGACGTGTGATGGCCTGAAGGTCATGAAAATATGGATCTACAAAATTCTCGGCGGGTCTGTCACCGGTTTTCGTCACGTTGCATGCTTAAGTGAAGAAAATTCTTGGCCATTTTTCTTTACCCCGGATATGAGTTTAAAATTATGGTGTGAAGCGGCTTCGACGAACAGGGTGTTGAGAAAGGACATGTTCGTCGTTGATGTCTGCGTGACCTCGGAGATTTGGGGCGAAGCTTGGCCAATGGGATGGGCGAGATGAGTAGAGCTCGCGGTCCTGTTGAAACGGCTGAGGAGTGATAAGCGCCAAGTAAAAGCTGGGCTGTGGAAGCTGTGGAAGATGATGTGGGCGCTTATGAGGGATAAGGATAGGATATGGGGGATACCAGTGATCGAGACGAACAATTGGCGACGAGACCGGCGGAGGAGAGTGACGCACTCGGAAAGGCTCAGAAGTGGGCAAGTTTTTAATATTCAGTTTTTTCTTATCTTATTTTATTGTCTCTCTTCTTTTTAGACCAGTCCAAGTTCGCCCATATCCTCGTGTCAGAGAGAACATCGAAGAGAAGAGAACAACATCAATTGATGCGTCATGAGTTGGCTCCACATCCATCATCCAGCGAGATCCAAAGTACCGTATGTACGCAACTGACGGCGCCTGGCATCTCTTGAACGATCGAGAGGTTGGGGGTGCAGGAAAATAGATGAAGTGTTGCAGTAATTTACTCCGGAGCACTTCGTAAACATCCGCCGGCGTTGATAGCCATATCTCCGTCTTACTTTCAGAGGAGGCGAGCAAGTTACCCTCCTGCGAGAAACGGGTCATTCGTGGAATATCGAAGAGTAAGACCATCACCCCATCTGATCCTCCCGCCAGTTTGGTAGGAGGGGCTTCTGTAAACGTCGCGTCGGTGGCGTCCCTGTCCCACATGGGCGAGCAGATGGGGCAGCCCTTTCTCCTAAAGCCATTTTACGTTACTCTCTCAAGTCGAAGACGGGACGTTCAGTGCCCAAAAGAAGTAGGAGGGGACGACCCTTTTAAGATGATACTTTATTTAGGCTTCGTACACTAGAAACTGTCTCCCTTGTCCATCGTTTGTCTCTTCTCTTTTTACTCTGTGAAAAGATCCCAGGAATGCGACGCCTGCTTTTACTTCGTAAACCTCGAAGTTGGAAGTCTAGTTTAGTTCAGGTGCGCCAGGTAGTGTAAAAGCAACGGAGATGTTTCTAGCGTCATGCCAAGATTGGAAAAGGGGTTGTGGAAACAGCAGTGGGGAGGGAGACTAAAAATATCCACAAGACTCTTTGCAAAAGCGTGTCTCTGACGAAAGAAAGCAAGCTCACGGGGTTAAAACTAAAGTCAACGAGTCTTTTAGCTTCGGGGACATGAGGTCATAAAACGGTCTTCCACGTATCCATTGATATATATGGCCCTTTGTCTCGTAATCGAGTCGTGGCGTCCTGCACTAGAGCATACCTCAGCACAAGTAGTACACTAGTAGTTATCCACGTATAACGGGACGCTAATGCGAATTGCCGCCGTGGAGGATAAACGTCACCTGGTTGAATTGGAATTGTGTACAAAGGTAGATTGGTTGGTCTCTCTGGCTCAGGGAACAGACATTCTTCATCATCTTGGTTGCCTTCTCTTACATTCGGAGAGCCGCAACTACTCGTAGAAAAGATGAATTTGGCAAAGAACGCTGAAGCGATTGTTGCCAGGTGACGATACTTCGTACTCCATCGAGTCCGAGGTTGATCTTCACTGTCCAAGTACATGAATTACTTGTACAAAGCAGTGACGGACGTTGTCCTCCGAATCGTGGGGAGATCCCTGATCAAGTTAAATAACTATCATGCCACGAACCCAGAATCATGGGCGACGCTAGCGTTGAAATTGCCAGATTACGAGCAGAAGTGGAGGGAGTAGGAAGTGGGCTATTCTTTCATCCACGAGAAAACACACTTCTATTAGTTTGTGACCGATGTCTGTTTCTGGGAAGGTAAAGTGCGAATAGTGGAGATGCTCATCTGCAGGGCAGGTTGTAGTGCGTTTCATGTTTGACGACCTGGTCTGTTCCCTGGCAAAGTGGCTTGGAAGGCCGAGCAAGCAAAATCGTCATGATTCTTCCTTCTGAGAGAAGCGTGTCCTCCAGAGTGTATAGATTACTTTGTCCGAACCGTCAATCAGGCTGACATTCCAGACACGCATCGATCGCGTGTCTAAGGCACGGGGGCTTGATAGATGTTGGGAATAGAAGCGACGCATTGTCGTGAATCTTAAAACTAACGCTACGAAGTAGAGGCAAACCGTGAAAGAACTTCTTTTTTTTTTTTTTTTTTTTTTTTTTTTTTTCTGCCTTTCTTTCAAGCTTCCGTCGAGTTGAGGCTCCTGCTTGATGGGGTTAGCAGACGGCTCTTTGGTCTCAAGACAGTGCCAGTGAAATCCTGAGGACTGGGTCGAGGGATGCAAGGAAAGAACCCAGCCATGTGAGAGGAAGTAAGGATTGCCTGCCTCTTTAAAATTAGGACTTTCAAGGGATTATGCGACGAAGACGTGTCGTTCTAGGTCCCAGAATCGTGAGGGGGATTCGCGTCGAGATACTCCCGAATTGAAAGAGAGAGTAAGAATACGAACCAAAAGACGATCGACAGGATTTCCCTTGCTTCCCGCCCGAGATAATCCTCCGCACCCACGAACTCATTCCGCGCATTGAAAGCAGTTGATGAGCCAAATATCACAATATGGGGGAGTAATCATCTGGCAAGTCACACGAGGTACGAAGTACATGGAGCTGATCTGGGGAATCCACACCCTCTTTCAGATAAAAGGGTATACTTCATCTGTCTGATGTCATTTCGGTGCATGGTGCGTTGGTCGGGCTAAGAACGATGAAGTTTGATCAGACTTAAAGATGCCTGTGAACTCTGGTTATTGCAGAGTCGAACACACTCATTACTGGATAATAGTTTCTACTTCTACAGAGCAGAAGCAAGGCTCAGCGTCCGGCGTCCTTCGTATGTGTGGTAAACTGGAAAGAGAGCATGGCAAAAAGCCGAGAAGCAGTGCATTTGCGAAGTATACAAGAGTGCGACACGAGGTAACAATGGTCACAGGAAACGAAGTTGGAAGAACCTTGCCGGCTACG